TTGTATGTAAATAGGGTCACTACGGGCTCTGCCTTTAACCCTTCAAATGCATAAACACATACATACATGCATACAGATATGCCTGCGTCAGCAAGAAAGTGAATTAGAAAGGCGGGCTGTTAGCGTAAGTTCAGAAATACGCTTACAACCTGAGAAAGACTGGTCAGCGGGAGGATGGTGGCGGCAGAGTGTGAGAGAAACCGAAGGTAAAGGTTCACCATGCTAAGGAGTCGCTGTAACCGACGCTTGGATATAGGGAACAGAGAATCCCGAATAACGGCGAACTTTGAGGAAAGGGAATGTATACCGTTAGAGCAGATCTGACAATTTATGAAATCAAGAGAAGCAGATGCAACGACGCATTTAGCAGGATCCAGGTCGAAAACGAGATTCTAAAAACGGCCGAAAAGCGGTATAAGATGTTGAAGATGTTCTTCAGCATCCTGGGTGGCGACTAAGACATTGTCAATCTAAGCCTAAACAAAAAGAAGTCCAAGTAGAACAGAATCAGTTAAGCGTTCGAATGCCAGAAAGGCATTTCAAAAACCGAATGGCATGAGACGAAATTTGAACGCGCCCTAAGGAGACGCCACTGCCGCTTCGGGAACGCGCTAAGGCACAATAAGACTTTTATGAGGCCGGGTCCAAATCGGTCTTCGAGAAAATGCTTTCACCAAAAAGAACTCTGACAAAGCGCTGAAGATGAGAAACCGAGTACTAATTTGACAAAGTGATATCGTTCAAGGCTTAATGGCCTAATGGACGCCCATCATCTGTCTCTGGTTCGGAAACCATACGCCATGGGAACACCCAGGGAATGTCAGACTGTCTACTTATAGGAGATTCAAAGGTTTCAGGGAGAACGACCGCATCAGGAATGTCTGTCCCGTGTCCCAATGCCTCTCTGAGAGAATGCGTTCCGTCAGACGTCTATATGGGCCAGCCTCCTCTGTAGATTCAATGGATGACCACGAAGACGGCCCTTCTCGGCCAATTCAAAGAATTCGCCAAATTTGAGAGCACACTCACGTCCTTTGACAGTCCTGTTGGTCTAAATGAGATTGCTGCGCAGTTGCTTGTGACTGAGAGAGAACAGATTTAGTTCAGTCAGTCTGGTTTCGTAGGGCAGATGATCCAGATTCTTGACCATCTTCGTAACCATCGTCTGTACTCTTTTCAGCTGTTGATAATCCTTCTTGGACCACGGTCGCCAGACCCGGACTGAGCAAACAACACCCGCATCGCTCGTTTGGCTGTCTTTTGAAAACTGTGGTGATATTTTAAGGGAGGGAGTCATCAGGACGTTAAGGTCTTTCCTTTCCTCAACACTTGAAAGGGGCTGCCCATCAAGGAGGCATCGACAGGGATCATCTTCCTTACTGGTCTTTGTTGTGCGCAGTCTCAGAACTACACACATTTCCACATTAAAATTGGGGAGCCGACGAGCTGACCAACTGCTCCACCGGTTGAGACCGTCCTGAAGCGCGAACCTGTCTGTGTCAGATATGATGGCTCTCCACAGGTAAACATCGTCAGCAAGAATGACGGTGTGGCATCGTAGGTCATCAACACAGTCGTAAATGTAAACTACAAATAACAACGGCCCTAAGACTGAGCCCTGGGGAACATTACTTTGGACGGGGTCAAAGTCGATCTCAAGGCCTCAACACACATGGTTTATGATCCCCCGGTAAGAAAACCCGTTATCCATGTCAGCAGCTCTCCTCTTATCCCAATTTCAGACAGTTTGTAAATTAGGCGTTTGTGTGGGACGCTGTCGAACGCCTTCTCAAATTCTGTGTAGATGACATCGACCGAACCATCCTTATTCAGTGCGCCAGTGCACTGCTAATTCAAGACCAGTAGACTGGAAAGACACGAGCGGTGTTTTGGGAGGCCGTGTTAAAACGCTGATAGTGAGTGGTTCTGTCCCACGAACTCTATTTTTGCTTTCTTTACAATGGCCTTCATTAGCTTACAGCAGATGTAGGTGAGAATCACAGGCTGGTAATCATTAGCATTATTGTGAGCCCCACTCTTGGATATCGGGTAGATATTTGCTGTCTTATATTCGGATGGCAGCCTCCCTAATTTGAATGATGAACTGAAGATGTCTGCTAGTGGTTTTGAGGGATTGTTCGAAAATTTGGCCAATACATTGTCTGGACCCGACGACTTTGCTTCTTCGAGATATTGTAGTTCCCTTTCCACCACAAGTGGCGAGAAGAACATGGTTCAAGCATGGGACCAGCGGTCGCAACAATATTGCTGATAATGTGACGCCGAAACTCCGTTTCCCTTGTAAAAACCGAGGCAAAGTTCCGTTCCAGGTGTTCAGCTTTCTCACTGTCTTCATCGATTTCTACACCATTATCATTCTTCAGTACTGCGACCGCGTCCTTGTTTTTCAGTCAACTGTTAATATAGTGGAATAACATCTTGGGCTTCTGCTCAGCCTGTCGGATAATTTTGAATTCATACATTGTGACTGCATTTCGCTGACGACGAAACTCCCCAAGGTGCACTGATAATCCAGTTTTCCCTTATATCTACAATATTTTACTTTCATTTCATAACTACCCATTTAGGTCCCTAGTTAACCAGATAGGTTAAGTGGTCGTTTTTGTAGCTTAAGTGAATAACAGTGCCGAATTAGATCGAGTTAAGTCGTCTCAAAAGATCTCCAGTCGTCCCGGGATCTCCCTTGAGCAAAGAATTTCAATCCATCAACATGAATTCGTTCTTCGTTGTGTTAAAATATGCCTTCTATGCGTTAAATTGGACTCCTCTCCTCTTCTGGCGTTGAGAGAAGAGCGAGTTATCCCACAGTAATTTAGTAAGGTCACTTTTACCCAGTGGTGCACAGGAATATACTTCGTCAATATTAGCGTAGTGTTTCATAAGAACTAGGTCCAGGCGATTGGCTCTCTGGTTCCCTCGAAATCTTGTTGGTGACTTTAAGTGATGTGCCAGGGGAAGTCGAGTGCGAGGTCCATTAGCTTTTTGTTAGGTGAAGTTGGCGCACCGTCAACTAACACAGTTTCCGCTCTATTGCAGGTACATTGAAATCCCCAGCAATAAGAACTTATTGGTGGTTAGCAACTTCCTCGACTAAGTGAAGGGACGATTCATCAGCTTCACTAGGAATGTTTGGTGGTCTGTAAACCGTCAGGAATTCTGGGTTTTGTGTGTTACTCTGCTTTATCTTTATCCAGGCAGATTTATATCCAAGGAAGAGGGCGTGGGCTGGCTCAACTGCCGCAATTTCGTCCTTACATATACGACTACCCCCACCATCCTGTCTATTTTGACAGTCTATACAAGAGAGCCGGTAATCATGTGTTCTCGTTGGAAACATTACATGTTGCGTGGGGAGGCGCCTTTTGCGTTTTTTGCAGCAAAAGGTACTCGAATGTCGATTTTGGACCTGACGTTTGAACAGTGTTCCAATTAATTGCTGATGTGCTGAAGTCGACAATGATCGTGATATTAGGTCCACCGGATAATCCCTCCAGCCGTTCCAGTAAATAAGTGTTGGTGATTTGGTCTGTCCTAGGTGGTTGATAGACAGTAAGGACATCAAGAAACGGGGAACCAACAGCCTTGATGGTCAACCAACTAGCTTCCAGGCCATACGCAGTTTTCGTGATATCTACCGGCACCACCAGAAATTCTTTCACATGCACAATTATGCGCCACCACCCTAACGATGTTCCCGGTCGCTCGGATATATCTTGTATCCAGTTAAAGCTATTTTGCTATCACTAATATTACCGGACAGCCAGCTTTCGGTTTTTGCTACAACATCCAGAGGCATTTTCGTAGGCCGATGTTTTAGCTCGTCAAGTTTCGATAGCGGGCTTGAGGCATTTGTATGCAATGACCTCAATATTGCGCTGACCGAATTTCTGACATTATTGCAATGTCCGGGGCTCCATTTTCACCGGCCTTTTCCTTTACTTGATGGTTTTCATTAACTCCAGCTCTTCGGTCAGAACATTGGGTGTTAAGGGTTTATTATATTGTCGCCTCCAACGGCAGGATGCACGATGGTATCTGCATTAGCTGAGTGGCTGCCGTCTTTCCTAGAAATTCTGGCTGGTTCAACTCAAACGGCTTATTTTTCTGATCTACTTTTCCTTTGATGATGGCCATGTTGCGTTCGTCACCCTTCAATCTTGATTTTAATTCAGAGAAGAGTTCCAGGCGCTCCAGCTTTTCCGCTATCTTCTTGAAATAAAATGAAGACGTTATCGATTCTTTGTACTTCACATTCTTCAGTACTGTTGCCCATTCTTTGGTTTGATGAACGAGGCTAATTGTTTAAAAATTAAGTGTCCTTAGACACTTTATTAGAAGACTTTTAAGTACGGCACATCCAAATATTTCCTGCTCAGAAAGATGCTACCTATGGTGGCTAGAGCTTTGACTGTACCACAGTCTTCCACTTGCTGTCGTGGGTTCGAATCCCACCGAGGAGCCTAGTATGCGAAAATCAGACGTCACATCGATGAGAGATGTGGAGGGACCTACCGACCGAAGGTCACGAAAGTACGACTGGCGTGGATACCAACTTATTGACGGATTTTCTTACTTTCTTATCTGTCCAGTTGGGTCTTCACAAGAAACTTTTAATAGAATCCAGTCATCTTTACTGTGTGCGACTATTCTAATGGGTTAGACGCTGGTGTGATAGGACCTAAATCGAATTCTTTTGAACCTACAAAATCATTGGAAAGAGGACAAGGACTGCCGATTTTGGAGGGTCCATTCTCAGACATATTCAGGAAGGCCACAGGCCCAGGTGTTAAACATCTGCGCCTCTTCAACTCATTACCATAGCGAGTAAAATGTGCGTTTTTTATGAGACGACACAGATGGCGTCCTGGATTGTAACAAACCACAATTTAAACAGCATGTGAGAAATGCCCATGTTTATTTGCGTTACATTCAGGGTCACTCAGACTACCGCGCAGTTTGAAATCTAGTAGGTTTTTAATATGTTCGCGCTTGGTGAGGTTCGAGAACCAACTGAAGGAGACTTCGATCATTTCAGAAAATTTGCCGCCGACAAAGACGGTTGGACGATTTTCTATTCTAGGAAAAAGCCGGGACGAGAGGTCATAACCTCTACTAAATGCTCCGATTTATCTCCTATTAAGCTTATCAAGGTTTGAAATCAGTTTTTTCTGTACGCACACTCAAAGGTCGAAGCGAAGTTGTCCGACGTTCCAGCGGCATCCATATATGACTGTCTTCATGACGCCCAGTACCGTAAGACCTGGGATTATGCAATGAAAGAGGGGATCCGTGTTGCCTATGTTTCACCAAATAGTGAGATCGGATACTACCACCGTACGCTCCCTGTTATTTGATAACACTCCAGTCAAATGTCCACTTGGTATTAGAGACAGAGACTTTGTTACGCAGCGCTGCTGGTCGGTAAACGGTAAAAATCACATTATTATCAATCACAGTGTTTTTCATAAAGTACGTTATTGATTTTAACTAACTGGTAGAAAGTTCCCCCAAAACATGGAGTTGTCCGGGCAGCATCTTATCTCACTGGATACTTGATTGAGGGGACCGACCAGAACTCCTGCAAATTTACTTACGTTTCGCAGTCGGATCCCAAGGGTTAGTTGCGTTTTCTCCTGCACCTGTCTTCTGTGAACTGTCGAGTTAAGCCCTGATTTGTATTTTATAAGGTTGCAGTTGACCGTTCGACAAGAAATAATCCTGATTCCAAGCGTATTTTTAAATTTTTAGACTAAGTCAAACAGTTTAAGACGTTGACCTGTCTTGAAGCCTAGATATTTGTTCCTATAGAATCAGTGTGCATAACCATATGATTATGAACACTGACAGGAAAAGGGACATTAGAAACAATGTTCAAAACTGTATATACAGTTACGAACATTGTGCCTAATGTCCCTTTTCCTGTCTGATTAACAGACCTCTCTGAGTTAAATCAGAAATACCTAGACTCGCTTTATTTTTATCGCAGTTTACTAATTGCACGAGTATTGAGCTTCTTAAAATTTGTTTTTTTCTTTTATTAAAACGCGAATACTTGTGGGATAATCCATCGATTTTTAGCTTTCTTTCACAGACTTCGTTTCGTTTTTTAGCTTACTTATCCTTAAGTTCGCCCAAAGAATTTTTATGAAATAGTAATTGTTCGAATATACTGCCTTCGGGAACTGGTTGTTTTTAGCATTGTCTTGTTTAGCCGAAAAAGGTCTAAGTATTCAGTTACAAGCGGCTTTTACGTCTTGTTTATACTTCGGCGAATATGATCTATACGGTCTGTTATATTCCCGTTTGTATAGGAAACATCCCGACTTTTGCTGTTAATGTTGCAGCTAAGTTGATGGCGCCCAAAATTATGAAGCGCCTACTTGACGCAGCTCGTAGTTATAGTAGGTGGAAGGAGTCAAACAATCCGGACTTCATGCCGTGGCGAAATTTTGAACAACTGAAACAATTTCCACTGGTTGAAATCGACGACCTCTCATGCAATTCGGATTTTACGGAGGACTACGTTGACCAAGACCCGATCCTGACTAAAAAAGGGGCGAGCGCAAACAGTCTACTTACGACTGACATTGCTGGGCAGATTTCTGCAGAGGAGCGTATGGTCTGATTTCTGTTCGAAATTCAAAAACTACAATCAGAACAAATTTAAATAAACTCGTTGTTCTTTTTTATTTGTATTTCTAAAAATGGATTTCCGTGTTTTCCAATTTTTGAGGTTTTATAGGAATTTGGTTTTCTTTGTTGCCTGTGGATGAAAATCATGTGTTGGATATGCAGAAATCTGTCAACTATTGGGAACGTGCCGTATCCTAAAACGTAGAAATTGTGAAGGTTACACATAGTTGAATATTTGGCAAAATGTAAAATGTATGCATGAATACGGTGAAATCCTGTAGGAACTATAAAAAGGGCGTTGGCATAAAGGCAAGTGAAGGCTTCCGGTCGTTGAAAGCGCAATACGCTACACATTTAACTTGACGCTTATTACTTTTAAAGGCAAGCGTAAAAGAACAAGCAGACCATTTTTCTACCAGTACGCCAGACGACGTGATTATGTTTTATCTATTTCGGAATACGTAGAATTAAAGCAAAAAAACAAGCTACGGTTCGAAAGCTGAGCACCAAAAGAGTCTGCTGGAGAAGGTATGATCGCCATTTTTCTTCCAGAATGATTGCTGAAACTCGTCTTTTCGCTTCTGTCAGCAAAACCTACCAAAACAACGGATCAACACCTTCCGCGAAATTAAATACCAAGCAGTCACTTAACTTTTCTCACACTAGGACCTCCTGTCACGAGGACTAGACACGGTCGATGTGAAATGCAGCGTACTTCTTTAAAATACACTTTTAACAACATTCAGCAATCATTCTGACCATTAGTAAAGACGATAAACCAGTAGTGGATGAGCAAGATTTGTCCTATTAAAACCCAACTAACATCAAACTCTTGTCACTGAGGCCCATAGAAAGCGTTTGTAGCGATCCGAGGACAATTGTTGTGAGAGTTATGAGCTGGATAAGAGAATGTTGCTTAAAGCGATATTTCCTCAACGTGAATTTAAGGCAGACATACACAGCAGGACTTGTTTGAACCGAACGTTTCCGCGACGGCTTATCAATTACAAAGAGCACTTTAAAATAGCGTGCGTAACACATTTGCGGCAGGTTGCATGCAATACTAATAAAAAGTCTTTTGATCAGAAAAATAGAGGCAAATCTACGTACAAAGGATTGTGAAGGTTACTTGCTATGTCGTGAGATCTGTACTCGATAAGTATGCTAAACAACAAAGGTCTTAAATAATGGGCTTATCTCCACTGGATACCAAAAATAACAAGATTATGTTAACGGGATCTACCAGCTTGTTACACTACAAGTCCACATTATGCTGTAAGACAATGTGCATAATTACTGACGACTTTCTAGAGTGGCAGTATTAATGATAACATTAGTGAAAGTAACAGTAATGACAAAGGATCATTGGCTATTTGGAAGGAAGCATACCGTACAGAACCGATGAACGGCGACTCAGCAGTCCTAGCATTCTATTCAAAATTAATGTCGTCATAGTTCTGCTGGTGATTGAAGTCACTTTGTTCCTTAGTTCTCGACAGGTTCGTTCCTCCCTCACTGTCAGATTCGCTCGAGAAGGTAGTTTGGACAGCAAACGTTGGACGACAACAACTTGCAGTGGACGCGTCCAGCTCTGCCTCAATGACATCACTTTGCGCATTAGATGCATCTGAATGGCCATCAAGTTGTGGCCTTATACCAGTTTTTCCAAGCTCATTGTAAACAGTGTCACCAGAGTCCCGCCGTGGAAACCTATGCAATGAAGGTGCGAAGTTCATAGACTTCAAATGAAGTTGCGGTTGCTAGCCTAGTAGATGTTGCTATCTTAGACTGTCTTTTGAAGGCGGTGCTTTCTAACAGATCAGTGGTAATTAATTGTTTCGGTTACAAAGAGTAGAAATTGAGTATATCAAGTATGGCAACTATTACCAAAAATGAAGTCAATGGAGACTCCGAACTTAAGCGTAAAGTGCTACTTAAAGGTTGCTGACCATACAAGAAACTTGAAATGTAGTCTCTTTTGACGAACTTGCTTCGCTCAAAAGAACAGTTTTAAATCCCTATGAGAAGAAAAAGCTGAACGAAATAAATAAACAGTGCATTTTTGCTAGAAGAAAGTCTACCGATGTGTTTATTTGGTGAAATTCTGGTTTAAGCGATAGGAAAAGACATCAACAGGTGATTTCCTGCTTAGAACGACGTCCTCAGATAGAAAACAAGTAGCACGGTCCCAACTCGCAACAGAATGTGCTGCCTATTAGACAAAAGTCAGTTAAAATGTCTTCCATCCATAGTGCACTCATGGATCAGAAAAACAGGTCCTGCGCCAAAGCTTAGGAGATTTTGACGAAATACATGAATACCTCTTATAAAGAAATTGTAAACCATGTGAAGTTATACAAACTTATACTCTCACAGTGTCGCGTGTGCTATTATAGGCCGCCACTAGATGACGTATCCGTTCCCCTGTACATTCAACTTGAGCCCAGAGAAAGGTACCAGTTACTCAATGCCCATATTATCATTAATTATCGAGAATTATTAATGTTTGGATTCATTTTATGGTGAGATATAGATGCGTTCATTTCTTTATGTTGGCATCTGCAGCCAAAACCTTCTATCTTGTCCAAAAATTGGGTAATTCGCGCACCTTAGAGAAGTAACCTGTGATTTCAACGGTTTAAACGCTTGAAAATTAAGCGACATGCAGTTGGTCCTAGAACGATCATTCTTTTTTTCTGTTCGTAAAAAATACTCCCTGATATTTATAAATATTGGGATAAATGTTGATTACGCGACATAAATTTGGAAAGATATAAATGAATTTGATGATTATGAAGTACGCGTATACACGTATAGGAGTCCGAAAAGTCTCAGTAATTTGGAGCCGAATTATTGTTTTCGGGTAGCATTGACATGTTTTGTATCGTAAATCGTCGATTAAAAAAAACAGAGAAGTTCTTCCGCTGATATCGGTCGAATTTGAACTCATGACCAACGGAGGCATAGCTCTAGTCCAAACAAAGCTCTAGCCACCTTAGCTACGAGGCCATGACTGAGACTATTGAATTTTTTCACACTTGAGTAAGTAATAAATTATTTTTTATGATATGAAATTAGCTACAAAATAGGCTTGACCACAGTCTGTGGCATACTGGGTGCCTAACTGTCTATGGGGTATAAAATTGCAGGCTGTAGGGAACACTTTGAAAGCTGCACAACATTAAAAACTGTAGATTTTAATATAACTACTTTGTGGACAAGGTTCTGTCTCTGTCCTTCCATAATCTAGCTTATTCTCGCTTGCAGCAGCTGTTTTGAGCAAGTCTCTAATTGGCCGTGATTTTTAACGGTAAAGAACATCATGTATAGAAAATACTAGCGGTAGACCAAACGGCAGTTCCGAAAACCCATAAAAACAAAAAGGCAATCAAGCAAATAATGAGGTGCGTGACTGTTATCTGATGGTAAGATATGATTGCATTCCAACTCACCGAAGCGTTTCAGGCAACCAAGCTTGTCTAAATGTGCAACCGTTGTTGCGACTGTTGACGACGACACTATAGGGCGTTAATCCACCGGCGATCACCTTGAACATATGGATAGCTTAAGCGTGACTGGACTACAGAGCAATATGAATCATTCCGGCCCTGGCATGGACTCCATGCACGATGAGTATCCTTACATGTTGGGACATATTAAACAGCACACGCATCAGTAAATTGGCTTATCAGTGTAAACAGTCCGAAGGTAAAGATCGATCTTCAGTTCAATGGACAGCCGCGACATAACCATTTTGGTTTCGAAGGCGTAAACCTTTAAATTACAGGTATTTACACTCAAAGCACGCTACTAATGAGTACGTAATGAAGATTGGCCCAAACTCAAGAAAACCGATAGGAGTCGAATGCCGAACTTATACTTTAGTAAGATACAGATAGAGTACAAGCCAGAAAACTCACAAATGTTCATGGGGGTCTTCCATGAGCAAGGCACTTCGATTTCCCATTGGTTCCTCAGAACGCTCTCGATACTTTTGATCAAATTGACCTTCCTCGGCATCTGGGGCCGTAGGTACACCTAACCTCTCTTGAGGTGAGTTGACCGAGAGACTGCGATGTCGTCTCTTGGCTGTCGGATCTCTGGTCGAGTGGCGGGTCACAACCTGGCGGTGACGGTGGTGATGGTGTGACTGCCCAACATCGCGGACGCATTTTTGTGGCGGCGGCGGCGGTAGCGGTGGATCACGACTGGAGGAGCGAACTCGGACGAGCAGGTTCTCTGCCGACTTCTGTAGTTTCTTCATGGATTGCCGTAGTTTGTTAGCCAACAGCATGGTTTCATTCTCCTTGGAGCGTCCTGCAGGGGTGATTGTGATGTCAGCTTGCGCTGTGCCACCAACAAAGGGAAAAGGGATAGTTAAGACAGAGCGATATGCATGGAAAAGTCCAGGAAACGGTGGATATGCGTGCATTGGAAAAACTACCCATTACTAAGTATGTACGTGAAAAGACTTAACATGAACTGGAGGGAGAACACACCGTTAAAGCTCGATGCTCAGACATTTGAAACGAATATGCCGCATTTATGCATAATAGCAAAAGGGCTTTATTCATTTAAACAGTCAATAAATTCAAAACAACTACGCTTCTTCTAGCTATGGTTTAAAAAGCAGGCAGGTTATCATTAGAGTCTTCACCCATAACATACGCAGATTTCGTTTAATCCTGGAGTGTGTTACAGTTTTCAGCCGAGGAAAACTTGTCTTGGTTTGTTTAATGGACGAATGCGAATATCCGAAGCATTCAGATCACATGGGGAGCACGCAATCTTCCTTCCCAGATGACAGCGCCTTTGACGTCAAGTCAGGAACGAAACTGCTGCACGCACGCTCAAACGAACAACCCCACCTGTAAGTCTAACACAGATTTTCGAAGTATTCAGATAATGTGAGGACATACTAGATATTTCTGTTCAACTGCTTCTACCTAAGGCAACCTTTTTCCATGCTTTTGGGTCTGAGAGTTCCTTCTTGAAGCCAACCTAGTAAGGCGACTTAGGGATCACATAGAAAGTGACCAAAGAAGTCGTACCACTTTGTGGTGTCACATAATACCTGAGAGTCCAAACAAGGGGCCGCTTTCCTACTGAAACCGATATAATCCTACCGCCTTTCTCGCAGACGTTTTACGCCAGAGAGGGTGTGTCGACGAAGATGTAGACAGGTTAATAAAGCACTGTTTCGGGCTTATTCTGACCTCGTCCAACCAGTCACAATCCTGACCACCACCTGGGATCAGGAACCAATATGATTTGACTGTTACGAACGACAGCGTCCACCATGTACCCCATAGAACAAGTGCACCACCGGTGACCTGCGTGTGACGTAGTTTATAATGAGGCGGACTTGGACAGCATCCACTTCACACTCTCGTCCCCCCGCCCACCTCGCTCTAATGGCAGGACAAAGCCAGAACGACCGGAGATGGGGGCGTCGAGACAGTGGCTAGCAAGATCAAACGACCCGCCTAGACATGTTACACACACGACCTGTTCCCCGCTCCATTCGTACCGGGCTTCCGTAAGGGTGGCTGGGGTCGCTCACGGGTGTGAATGCCATAAGGGCCGCAGCAGGAAAAACATACCGAATCCTGACTCTCTGTTCTGAGAAGGACCGAGTTATACTGTCGGATGACGATCTTTCAAGCCCCGACTGTTGGCGTGCCGTTATAGGTTCAAACGCGTCAGACTGACTATTGGGACAAACACACTGGTTAACTGTGAGGCTATTTCACCCCTCAACATTTGCCTTGCTCCCTCTTCCCATCTCCAATGCATCATTTGACTGTCCGTACCTGCCAACCAATTGATGATAAGATCGGGCGCAGTGGTTAGCTCGACGTTAAAGGCCCTTGTTTGCGTGTGTCACACGCATTATAACCCTCTATTCCCTAAGATCAATCCTCATCTCACAGATGAGAGATGCAGTCCCTCATATATAAGGTTTCGTCGATCATAAGGATGCTAGCAAACTGCCCTGCCCCCTCAGTGCATAGGTGACATGTGATGTGCTGCTTGTTAAGGTCTATACACGGGTGACCGAACAGTCCGAGTTAGAGCATAAGTATGTTTTGCGGGTGTGTATAGAGGGTTTTATTTCAAGGACGCCTAAATACGCTACTTTACCGCAGGTTTTCGTGAAAGACCATATGAACGAATAGGTTCATCCAGTAGCTGAGGGTCCTTGGACAGTGCTAAAGATAAGGCGTACGTGAAGGGTGTATGTCGGGGCTGCAGACAGGGGTATTTTAGATGCACTACAAAGGGTCCGCAGATGACCGATTTGGCTGATACTTAATGAGAATGTGCGGTCGCGAAGTGGATAAGTAGGAACTTCGTCTGCATTGTTAGTGGTTAGCAACACATTCGTCTTATTAGGGATGTCCGCAATTGAGATGTTAGTAGGGGTGATGGCGTTTTGTGATATGCGGGGTTGGTTGGTCGTGTTGTCATTGCTCTGGGAATTCCGCAGCTACAGCTATCAAGCGGAGTCAGTCTGTGAGTCAAATATCCGTTGACCGTATGGTGCACAAGGTCGGGGCCGGATACCAAAGTTGTTGCGCCGTGGCACCTGAATATTACAGACCTCTCAAATTGTCTTGGCCTCCGCTATTTATATAACTTTGATGATGACTGTTCCAGTCCTTACAGCAGTACGCCATGTCTTTTCAGATCTGAGAGTTCATTTGTAGATGCCGAAGAGAGGTCTTCAGGATACCCACATATCTCTCTCCGCTTCCTCTGAGAATAACTGTAGTGACGTCGCCAAAATGTAATTGCTTTGAAGTTGCAATGGTCACTGCTGAGGAGACCGTTCTTTTAAAGATCTCGGAATGAGACATTCCTTCCACCTATTCTAGCTTCAGCACTCTCACCAGGCAGATGAGGTAGAAATGAATCAACTCACTTGCCTGAATTTTGTACACTGCCCATAAATGCTGCCCTCCACGAAGCCTATTCTAAACAACAATCCGCACATCCTAAGTTTAGCTTCGGGAAGACTGCTGCAACGGTTCTACACGGAATTTTGTAACTGACCGACCAACGGGACTAGTGCGTTCCGTAACGCGATTGGTGCACGCCCCTCTACTGTTGTTAACATACCCGATCGCAACCGACAGGAAAACGGACCCCTGACTCTATGGTTGGAACGCTGAACTTCTAACCCACTGGTCGCGAGTTCCAGCCTTGGAGGTAGTATACCTCGCATTAGAGAAGGTTGACACTGGTCCTGGAGGCTTTCGTTTTGCCTGTATATACGAGATGTTGGGTATGTAATCATCAGTTTGGCAATCGATTTTGATTCCAGGCCGCTCCTTACGGCAGACGACTATAAGCGCGTTCAAACCATAACTTTTAAGAGGGCTGGAACGAGTAAATAATCATATATTTCCCCAACTGGCACCGAAAACGCCTCCGAGACCGGCCGATTGGTCAGGAGGGGGTCGTCGTTCCGTCGCGCAGCTTTACGACTGTCTGCTCTAAACGTTCCGCATACCCGGACTTAGGTAAGATGTTCCAGAGTTCACTGTAGTTCACCGTGTTAAGGGATTTTATAAGATCTACACATGTTGTGTGGAGGCTGGTCCACATTTCGTGGCGCTGTTCCAAAAGTTAGCGGTCAGAAATATGAAGTTCGGGGTTTCATGGTGTTTTCGAAGTCTGATAGGAATCGCTTCACCAAACGCGTGTCCAGGTTACTAAGTAACACGCTGGCCAATATCTGGTTAACAACGCTGATAATAAAAGTATCCCCGACCGTTGTCGCAATTCTGTTTCTTTTGCATTAGTAATTATAGGCGAGAGTTGCCAGCTTGGAAATCTTGTAGGATTTGTCCTCGTCGTGACATCGTCTGGAACGATGGAATTAATTTATCTATAATTTGACGGTAGTCGTATTCGTTAATTCTGACTGGAATACAGTCGACGCTCAGCCCTTCTCCGCCGGACAAATTTTGCACTGCTTTGACTGTCTCCCGCCATCAAGACAGATGATCGAGGCCGGCATTGACGCTTACCCGAAGAAATTAGTTTATGGCCTCTTTGAAGAGTGCTAATGGACCAAATGAGAAGTTCTTTGAAGTGCTCGGCCCAACTCCCAAGATCTACAACCATTTCGGACAGTAGGTCTGGCCCGTGGGACTTAAACAGTGTCGCGGTCCCCTTCGCCTGAGGACTGCAGTTTGCTTTGATGGTTGCGAGAAAATTCGTCATCACATCGCGGCCCGCGTATTTCTCGATTTTTTCGGTTTCTTAAACCGCCAAGCATTATACCTCCTAATCGAACTCTGCCGTATTAGGCTTTATTGACGTTGTTTACACGGTTTGCACGCAGCCTGTTGGTCTCAGCGAGCAGACGCCGGACTTATTTATCATTGTCGTCAAGCCGGTCTTCACGCTGTCAAAATGTGCATCCGGGGATTTCGGACACAGCGGCACGGTCATAATGGAAATGGGACTTTCGGATTCACAGAAGATAATTTCCTGATCACTGTTCAGCATCTATTTCGGAGTGGAGTTATCCTTATTTTACACCTTCTTTCCAAGAGGACACACTTTTAAAAAGTCGGACTGTTCAGACTTTCCTTTTTTCTCCAGATTTTCGATTTTTCTGACCACCCGTAGCGTATCCATGCTAGGAACTTGGATAACCGCAATGCATTCAGAAAAAAAACTTATTTTCAGATCGTCTGGCCTTCATTCCCTGACTAGATGTCGAAATCTACATGGAAGGACGAATACGGAGAAACTTTAAGAAACCGTTCTTTCAAAACGAGCCGAATTTGGTGCGACCTCTGTTCGGAGCATGGATTGCCTTTATGAAACGAACATAAGGAACCCCTACTATTTTAGAAGAATTATAGACTAGGATAAAAAAGCATGGAGTAGCCGTCTTTAGCCTATTTTTGGTTAGACTCTAGATTTTCACTTTTGGTCACTGGAATTGGTTACGTTTCTTTCATTTTCCCTGAAATGTTTGTATATGGCATGCAAACTCGATCTGCTGGTTGATGTATGGGTTATCCGAGTATATGGCCAAACCGCTTATTAGCACAAAAACCAGATGAGCATTGATGTTCGGACCCATTTAAAAATATGCATAGTTTACGCAACAACTTTACATCCAGCTATTGCCTGGGGGACGAACTTTAAAATTCACAGAATAAAGTTTGTTTTCTTCTGAAAAGGCTGTCTGCAATCACCTTAGACTTTCTAGGATGTCGATACTTTAGTATATGTGCTAACCCCCACTCGGCCACATAGACGTATGCTGTTTCGCCATTCCGCTCCCCCCTTGCGACACGGTGAACAACAAGCGAAACCCCCCTAACACCTCCAACGCCGGCGCATTGCCCCCTTACCTCATCCCGCATCAGTGACCAGCCGCCCGCATTCCCACTGATTCGCAATCCCCACCCCCCCGCGTTTTCACAGCCTCCAACGCTGGGAACCCTAACGGTTCTTCCTTCCCTCCCTCTACCCCACGGCCTACCACAACTAGGTGCCCACCCCTCTCACACATCAGCTGTCTGTTTGTCGTTGTCTGTCCTGTCGCGCCAGCCGACCTAGTCTGCCGACTTCACTTTCCCTCCGTTCATTTCGTTTGACGACGGGTCGGTGTCACCGACTTGAAAATTTACGAGTACAACTCAATTTTCCGAAGAGCCTTCACTTTCTCATTATATCCCCTCGGAATGCACACCACATCAGTTATTCAGCATATATATATAGTAACAGAGAAGCGTTCATTGAGTCCCAGGACACCAGTGGACGAATATGTCGCCTAACTTGGTCGGTAAGCACCTCTCTACTATTTTTAATATTGTCTGATCACAGTGAACAGATCTAGGGGTCCGTTGGCTTAGTACTTGAGGCGTTGTACTTTAGACCAACAGGTCGCATAATCGAGCCCCAGGGGTTGCAAGAAACCCTGGAGTTCGGTATGACCAGCCAATAACGGTAAAAAAAAACTAGAAAAGGCCATTTTCAGTCTCCTTTGTCTTCCTTGGAAATATTATTCTGCGTATATATGTACATAAGTATGGATGTAGGCGAAAATGCCGCAAATAAGTAAGTCCCGACAAAGACAAGGTAGACAGGGTGACCACTTCTGCCTTATTAGCCGCCGTCAGAAAACAGTACCTGACCCCGCGTCTGCACGATCTGGTATTTGAACCGGAGTTCTCTGTTTATTGAGTGTTCAGTGTTTCAGCTCTTTACCACTTACCCACGGGCCCTTTGTCCTATTGATTATCATCGGAAATATTAACCGGCGTTCAGGTTCCATGTCATACACACCTGGGGCTCGCTACGGTTGGTTGACGACGGCTAATAAGGCAGAAGTGCCCATCACGGTCTTCCCTATCTTTCATAATACTTCTTCCTGAATCATTACCAGTCACTGTGCAACTGCCTTTAATGTTTCCAAATTGGATCCAAAGGCACAGTGGGACGAGCACGCCCAACAAGCTGATCGGTGAACGCTCTTCCTCCTCCATATACATATATGAAGTCCAAATGAGGGAAACCCATGGATTTTGTACAATTTGTCTGCTTTCTTACTCGAGAATGATAAGGGCTATTGTAAGAAGACATGAATTTTCCGTTTGTTCTTGAGCATAGGGAAACTATAACTATGTCGTAATAAACCCACCAGACCATTTGGTTTATACAAGGGCTTCAACTTCAAGCTAACATCCATAAGCAAAATTTACCATAATTGGCTTCGCCGGCAACATTGTGTTGTCCATCTCCATGTTCTTGTCGCGTCTCCTCGCGGACAGGCTGAGCAGGAAATGGACCATAACTGCGAGACCGGGTCCACGCCGACTTCTTCTCGTCAACTGGGCGACGGTGTTTGTCGATTCTGGCGGAGGCGCAGGGACAACAGCAACAGCCGTCAGCATCCTCCGCTCGGCAGATGTCTGAGCTTTCAGGCCCGAGCCGACAAAAGTAGCGGTCTGCTGAACAGTTGTACTGTTGCGACTTGAGAAGTTTCTGCGCGCGAGAACGAAGACTCGGATGCTCCCGTTTTTTGGGCGCGGGGTTGACGGTCTTGCCTGCCTCGTTCGTAACGAACCCCTAGGAAGGCACAACAGAATAGTACCTGTGCTCGCATGACCCTGGCTGCGGAAACCGTAAACAAAATATTCTATGTCACAAAGCAATCGGCTCCAATTCTAAATAGGCTAGCTCATCTTTGACAAAGAAATCTCTCAACAGTTTCCTCTACAAGTACTTTTAGAAAGGCTCGTGCACTCAAATGTTTAACTTTTTAAAACAGGAGTCATCACAAGTACCTGTCTGTTTGGGAGGGATATAATGATTTTGGCTTCGAATACCGTACCCGGGCGAGTACTGACTTTCAAATACTGTGTTCCAGTTCATCTTTTATAATTCAAAAGATGTCAGTCGACAGTATATCAAAGAGAGAAGGGCATGTAGCTTACTTGTTGACGCTTTGGAGGGAACTTGAAAAATCAATGTAGTGCTTCTTATGTTACGATTAAATAGGAAGTAGCGATCACCGCCGTATTTTTAATGCACGTCTTAAACAAGCAGTTTCAGAATCTAAAGTCCATGCACTCGGTCGTATGGTGACCAACCATCAACGATCAAGAAACTGTATTACTAAGTGGCGTTAGAACAGCCATTTCGGGCTTATTTGCCGGTATCACCCAGCTGGTGCCCTAACCCTGGGTCTGGCTTTTGTGATTGAAGTCCGCGTCACTCTATCATCGAGCATCTTGAGCGAAACGTTTTCCTGCCTCTTCATGGGGTTAATATCGTATCAGCTAATGTCGGAATACGCTGAGTCAAATGGGAGCGACATTGATGGATCTATGCCGATTTCATAACAGTAATTCTAACCCGCCAGTCGGAACTATCCGCAAATCTTGCGTGCGAATGCTTAGGCTCGTGGCCACTGGCGTTTTTCAAAGTTAAGGCTGGATAAAGAGAGGAATGTGATGGAAACAATAACTGTCTCGGCCTACCATCGTTTTTGTCAGTATAACGTCATAGTTGTTAGTTTGAGAATTTGGAAGTCTTGTAGATTGTGGTCCGCTTGTGACTCCGTCACCTTTTTGGAGTTTCTTTGCTCAGGGTAACCGAAGAGATGGGTATATATTAACAGTCACATGGTCAGCTGGTCTCTTATTCCCGTCAGAATTGTGAAAACATCTTTATTACCTCAGTGAATGACCACTGGAACGTGAAAACAGAACAAACATCCAAAGAAGCGGCTAAAATTCGGTCTCCTGAACACTCTTGGAAATGCGCTGGTATTCTGCATCAAACTGTTTTCCGGTGCTTCTACATGCCTTCACGCACATAAACCAACCGACGAGCTTTTTAGCCTTAGGAGGAAAAAACTGCCACTGATATAACATACGGTTTGCGAATTTGTTAAATTACTTGCTCTTTACCTCTTATAGGAAGTTCACAGTTTGCATCACCCATCAGCCTTGGTCGGCTTGAGGAGGATCGCATAAGTACCTTTAAGATCTCCAACTTTTCTAAGGATTTATGAGTGTTTCTTCAAAAATTTAACAAGTTCGTTCAGTACGCTTAGTCCAGGTTACTAAGACACATTTACAGACAGTCTCCTGCCTAGAAGCCTACTGACAGAGTCTGTATAAGAGTCTGGTACAAATAAAGGCAAAAAGATTTTCCCTCAAAAACTGCTCCTACAAGCATCCTGGAGGACTGCAGCTGGATGGAGCTTATGCTATTAGAATAATCTTAAAATACGTGACCACCGCGTTGGTGAACCAGAACACTGTTTTGTGTACTTTCCGTCGCATGACTAAGGAACAGTGATGGCGCTTAACATAACAGGGTGCCTGGTTTGTTGTCTGCTGTGGCGACCACGTTTTCGAACGTGACCCCACATCGGGCCTCGCAGTGCGTCAAGTAGATGTCTGCGTGGTGTCGTCGTCTCAGCGAAACGTCGTTATTTTTGCAGTTTTACTGGTCTCTCTCCTCAAAGCCAGAAGCACAGAAGGAGCACACTCGAGGCCGACACATAGGAGTGGCAGAATTCTCGAAATCCCCTGGTCCCTTTATGAGCCAAAAAGTCTATCAAAAGTCCAAAATGCGCCTTGAAGAAGTCCTGTTAAGGACTTCTTTCGAAAGCAGTGTTTATTTAACAAGCCACTTGCAAATAATTCAAAATTCTACCGATCAGGTTTTCGTACTTCGGGTCATAAAAACATCCGGGCAGTCGTGGTTTGCATTTCGCCAAAAAGATAGGAGCGCATACGTGTGTAAAAATCTAGGGCAGAGACCATGAACGCATTTTAAGCAGCACCTCGGTGTCTCAGGGGAAAATTTGCGTGAAAAAGACGGGTCGGTAAAAAGAGCAAAGCTAGCGGTGAGAGCATACGTCTAGGATCAAAGATGTTCGCCAGGCCCCCCCTTCCTCAGATTGAAAGTACAAAAGGCTGGGTTGACTTGCACACTTGACTTTTCGAGGAAGTTTAATTTACAGACTTCTCTGGTAGCGACCCGTTGGTGTTCGGAAGAAGATAAACGTAAGAGGTCTCATTGCTACCAATCATATCCATCGATTAAAAACTCATCATTTATGGCATACGCCCCACCACTGTCATAAAACTTGACGGAGGCTGAGGTAATTTCGGGAAAAAAATTGGCGGTAAATGCCGGCAATGAGCAAAACTGACGATCTTTTCTGGTATTCTTGTCTTCCCAGGGCAGTTGGATTTTCCGGACCCAGTACAGAGCTTAAAGACTACTTTTAGGCAACTGAAATCGAGTGGTCTCGACTGGATGCTGTCGGTGTCAATAAAGCCTCCTAGACTGCGTTCTGAAATATTTTATGAACGTGAATTGCATGCGTAAATGGCCGAAGTCACCCCGAGGGGATCTAAAATCAATTATTCATAAAATGATTGTTTTTGACATAAGTCGTCAAAATCAGTCAGATTCCGCGTCCTTTCTTTCTCATCCTTTTTGGAGTAAGAGTCGGACTTTCAGTCTAAATTTATTTTGTCTACTCGGCCATCCAGTTTTTTTTAACCTTTAAGGGTTCCTTTGCGAAATTCTGGCTTTAATAAACACTTGCTAAAAGAGGTCCAAAATAAAGACGCAAGTAAGCGTTTCCTGAAGACTGCCGAGATTGGGAAAGCCAGCTCTGTCTGATTCATCTCTGTTGTATTACAAGTGGGCCTTTGTCTTTTGAGGACAAATCGTTCTACGAAAGCATTTTAAATGCCTTTGTAAAAGAATATATAATGGCTCTCAACTAAGACCTGGGACGAGTATTCGGCTCAGAATCAAACAAACTCAGTGAATCCAGATTTTATCACCAAAAATAATTAGGAAAGTTTCCCAAGAACCTTAACAGGACGAAATATTACAAGTGGTTTCCTGGTATTTTTATTGTTTGCCAGGTTTGTTACTTTTGAAGGTTCTGCTTCACCTTGGATGTTTTGAGGCTTCTTCTCCCAACCAAATTTGTTGGATACTTGGACCCATCATGTCGAATATTTTGATGACGATTCGTAATTTTTGACGTCTGTTTCTTTAGTGTGTCAAGGTGGGTTCGTAGCGATTCCAACCGCTTATCGGTAACACTGTCAGCTGTAGGCGACAAACACTTTGGGTTCTCTGAAATAAATAAGAAAGAAGCCTGACAGTTGGTATGACGGAACTGACAACCTTCTATTTAGTTAAACAGTTTGTTAGCCACATGGACTCTAGACAATATAACCAGTAAGAGAGAGAATACCACCTAAAAATTAAACACGAAGTTTTATCCTAAAAAGTGCAACGAGAAAAAATATGATCAACGCTACTTATGATACAAAAGTAGGCGAAATATTAAAGTTCACACCCGCGACGTCCTGAGCGCAGTTGTTCCGTAACTGGCACTCAGCAGCTTCAATGTTTTTGGTGGCCTCTAAAAGCAAAAAAAGCAAATAGTAAAACGAAGTTTGCTGCAGTAAAGGAGTCTGAAACCAACGCAGAAAACATACCATAGCATTTACCTCTTAGACATTGGCGCGACTTGCCCAGGCCTTATTGGAAAGCAAATACGGCATTCCTCATTGTTATCATGAGAGGGCAGTGAAAACTCATAATGCAAACTTACCGTCCGCGCGTTTCATGAGCTCCTCAAGGGCCTCGTCTCCTCCGTTGGCTGAAGGTCTGGGACGCGGTACTTCATAGCACAGCTTTCTTTGCAAACACAGTATCTATGGAAAAATGGCTGGTTTACGTCCATGGGGATCCTACATCAGTGTTCTTTACCAAGAAAAATAGTTTCAGTGGGAGTTCCGTTAACCCGATTATCTGAGCTTTTAATTACAAAAAATCGAGTAACCCTCAAAAAATTGTCAAATATACGCGAAGGGCATTTGATGTCTCCTTTCTCATCATGGTGGGGAAAATTAATTTAATAGATGAAACATGATGTTCTGGCGTTATAGCCTCTTTTGCTCAAAAGAATTGCAATTAAAACTCAAAACCTAGAAATAATGACCAAACATGAGGAGATACTCCCAAAACTCCGTTTATTCACCGAGGGAAATGCATTCTAGCAAAACACAAAAATTACACAAATAGGCCCTTTTTTCCAAAATTTTCTTTGAGACTTTTTACCGGAGTTTAAAGACAAGTAGTGCAAATAATCCTGCAGGTCATACATAGGGCTAGAAGCAGCACTCGTCATTAAGTTTGATACGTGGAGATTACTTGAGAGGAATAACGCATGTTAATGCAAAACTTTTTTACTGAAGACAAGGTGTTTATTTCAGTGCGCCGTCATTGCTTGAAATTGGAGGAAATATAATTGGCCTGTTAAAACTTAACTCAACTGAATTTTACACTCCAATAAAGCTTCGAAGGTCAACACTGACTAGCCAATTTAACAATAACACTTCATTAGAAAACATTTTAAATTGTAGTTGTGGTTAAAAACGGTGACTGCGTGACAACAATGAGTTTTCATGTTTAAATTGTGATTGGAGTGCTTACTTCTTTGGTAGTGTTTTCAATGGTTTTGCCGATATCTCGACCCTCATTCTCCAAAGAGACCTTCAAACTGTCAGTTTTCGGATCTAAGATGGTAAATGGTGGGAAACATTAAGTCTTAACTAGACGCGGAACTAGAGGAATACAGTGACAAGTACCTTCCTTTTTACGAGGATTGTATCGTCCTTTAATTCTGAACAGAATCCACGAGCATTAACTGCACATCCATTATCTAAAATGTTAACCCCTGATATAGAAGATGGAAATAACGACCTTTGGTTCGGCTGCAGCAAATATTAGTCGCTTACCAAGGCAAAACTTAACAGGCCAGACCAGCGTTCGAGGCAATTACCGACGGTCAGCAAGTCCTGGGGATCGGCTATCTCGAGTCCAGCTGACAACACTTAAAACTAGTGACCCAGCTGCGGTTCACATTTTATCATCTGGAAGAATGCGTTTGAAGCAACCCTAATAAATGACTATTGTGTTACAACCTGAGGTTAACGATGTCCGCACTTGTGCATTTTTGTATGCGTATGGGCGCTTAGTCGTATATACACTGCGGACTCCACCTCACGGTCTCCTGATCGTGTGTCGTAAATAAATTTGTCCCGACATTTCAATGGAGCGAGTGAGTTTGATGTTAACCCAGTTGGTCATAATCTCCTCTAGCAATTAGGATTCTGCTAGACTTTAAGTACTTGCTGTAACCACTATCTGAATCTATAATTTATAACTTTCCAGTCCTGAGTACCGGTAAGTAAGAATAACAGGACGCTGCTTGACTGAGGTTCTCACGTGCTCTGTGAAGCGTCTGAGCGTCTAGAAGGATCCGTACGAAAAGACCTAATCCCGGACAATCCGATAGCAAAACATCGCCCATTGGAAAAACTTACCATCTTTGATGTGCGTGGTTTTGATGGCTAATTGGGGCTCGGACGTCAATATGATTTTCGGTTCAACTAACGTCTTTGAAAATTTTGCCGGGGATGAAACGCGCAACATCTAAAAAAGAGAACCAGTTTTTGGTTAGAGCACTGAATTTAACTCCTCAATATCCTACTAAACCCGCATTCGAACCTCCAGTGGGACGACATCGGGAGTTAGAATACTCTGCGCAGGTGGTTGCCTCATTCCAGTGTCTCTCACCTATAAAGGTGCAACTTCTAGATTTTCTGAATTCAGCGAGTGGGCATTTGTTTCAAAAAGAGTCAGTGCTTGGGATATGCAGTGGTTGTCAATCTAGCAGCAGTTTTTAAATCTAAGTACACACAGTGGTGTGACTGAAGTTGGTTGACCGTCACAGTCTGTAAGGCGTGAGACATCTTTTTATTTAAGAAAGTGTTGTATCTGCTTAAAATACTCGTCATAACCCCGCATTCGAAAATCATAGGGATATTAGTTTAGATCAGTGCAGTTGGCATTACAGACCGTTTAAGTTCGCGACTCACATGAGAACTGCAATAGTTCATTCGAGAAAACCACTGCTTTGTCTTTATTTCTGCTGATGAGCCCTCATAAGCCCTTTCCCTTCAAAAGTTTTAAACACCTGATGCACGAGTCTTCACGACATATAACGCCACATAGGTCTAGCAGATATTATTCTCGCCCGAACTATGTGGTCCACCAGCTCTGCGGTCAAGGGGACCGACTTTTCGTTGACATTTTCATGGTGCTGCGGCGCTAGGCCAACTTTATTAGTCGCCTTTCTCATGTACTTTGCGAGTTCTAACTCCTGTTAAATTTAATAATGAGGTTTGCAATGAAAACGACAGCCTCTCGATCTGTAGGTGCACACAAGTACCGAGCGACCGCCCGAGTTACGCTGGAGTTCCTGCTGAGCGCAGAAACTCCACTCCTCTTTAAATCTATCGGTAATTCGTGACGAATAGTAGAACGCAGGAGTAAGATATCATAATTGCGGGATATAGAACAGTCTATCACCACCGACAAAGATAAGGGAGACTGGAATGGTCATTTCCGGCCTGTCAGCAGTCGCCGACCAGTCATGCCCAACTACTAGGTATCCAAACCCCCGAGGTCCGATCGCAACCGACAGGACAACGAGACCGTGACTCAGTTATTAGGGAGCTGGATTTCTCACCAACAGGTCGCGAGTTCGGGCCTTAGGGGTTGCATAACCTAATATAACATACCTGCCTAACTCATATTAGTAGACACGACATAGTAATAAGAGCACAAGCTGACGTGCTCAATCGTTGCCAATTATCAGAATCCCCGGGTTCCGTCCGAAATTTTACACAGCGATTCCCGAGGATATTAAAAAGGTTAACATTAGCAACTGGACTTTATACCAGAAAGTACATCGATAGCCTAGGGAAACGCACCGATGAGCCGATCCCCTCGCTGCTGCATCATGCAGGGGCTCATTATAGGCTAAAAATGTGTCTGAGATTTTAACTACACCTGTGCTGGGCGTATGGCTAACCAATCAACAGTGAATTTTTCCTTTGGATATCCGTTCTACAGTCCTCGCAAGCATTTGCATAGCGAATGACGATCAGTGATCGAGAACTCTCGCCAGCAAAGACAAATGAAACAGGAACAATAATGCTTGACTTATACGCCGTGGCCAATCGACTCTACATGAACCCAAAAGGGACCGCCTGGCGAAGACATACAAATCCACAGTAGACATTCCAGACTACTTTATGCATAGAAAATGTGTCTCGTCGAAGGTGCGTGCCAGCATTTGATGGACGTTGCTCCAACACTTTTAATTATTCAGGAAACCGCATTATTACCTTCTCTGCCTTATTGGAGGCATGGTTCGATTTTCGTCTTCCCATGTTCGGCATTTGTTTCTGGTATTCAGACCGGCAGATGGATAATGTTTTGCCCAGACTCAACTGTTCAAACCGTTTCTGTTTGCGTTTGTTAACACCTTAATCTTTTCAATGTTGGTCTGCTGTTTTTGTAGTATATGCGGGTCAACAAACTAGAGGTAGGACTATGGGTATATACTGAGGATGGCTAAGTAGGTTGCAAGTATTTACAAAAACTAGACTTCCGCTGTGTGAACAGAAGGCCGTCGTAGCATATCATGAGGATAACATGGAGGGACTAGTTTTGCAACCTGAGGCCACTGTAAATCCACTGGAGTTAGCTATTGTGCTGGAGGAAGCACTTTTTCGACCAACCTGCCCTTATATTGGCCAACGTAACCAAGCGACTAGAGTCTCTGACTAATTAAAAATTTTGGCCTATGCGAAGATGGGGATGCGATCGCTGAAACAGGAAGTTTATTCGTCTGAATTTTTGAATTTTCCCCCAAACCCATCATCACAGACACACACGAGGGACCTCGGCCAATTAGCACAATATGAAGCACTGCAGAAGTTGGACGAAAGAATAATTTGAACTTAAAATACAAAGCAAATGCAGGTACTGAATTAAACTCATTCAGGCCAAGGGAGTGACTAGCTAAAACTTATAATAGCTTTCAGAAAAAGGCTGACGTCAACTTAGGCAGACGAAGAACGGCGAGATAAAAATATTAAGGCACTGTATCTTCAATCACAACATTTCGGAGATGACTTAGCGCATACTACAGACAAGCAGATCTAACAACTAATCCGACGCTTGGCGTGAAAACGGGGTCAGTCTTTCAAGCACAGACTTTTCCGCAATCGCTTTTAGCCTAAGTTGTCCCCTTCGGCCGACAAATGGAATGAAAAAGTCGCATAGGAACCTGAGAATATAGAGATTTACGAGAAGAAACAAACGTCCTAACCAAAAATTTGAAACAAGGCAAAAGCTTAGGTAGGACTGACGGGCTCCGGCGTTTTTGTCCGCGTAGCCTTAAGTGCAGCAACCTCCTCAGTCTTTTTGTTGAGAAGCTGTAAGAAGTAATCCCGTTCCTTTGAAATCCTTTGTAGTTGCGTCGTTTTAAGCTCTAAAAGTAAAAGCATACGTCTAATGACTTTTGAACAGCCTTAAAGGGTTAAAATATCTGCTTGCTTCTTACCTGCTCTATGGAACTTCTCAGAGAGTAAAGTTTTTATCTGTCCAAGTATGGTAAATCACAGATTGTCTTTCGGGTCAAAGTTCAACACAAAATTTATTTGATCAAAGTCCCTACTCCTGAAAATGATTCCATTTAAACAACCCTTAAGCTTTCCTTATATCCCAATCGTAGTTCCTCCACCGCTATCGAGGAGGAACGCGGACGTCGGGGAGAGGGCACAGTTTTGACGTGTATGGCATCCATCCTATGTTCTCTCATCACACGCACTATGTTAGGATGCAAGATAAGGCCAAGAGGATTAAACATAGACATTAAAACAAGGTCAGAAGTAACTGCATCCGGATATGCATGTGCGACGGGCATTCTCGTTTCTAAGCGCACGCAAACCAGGCTCCAAACGGTGTTTTCTGGATCTCTCATAGAAAATCTGTTTCGGTACCTGTCGAATATATAAGCTTATGTTCTCTTACTGCAGCATGCCTACTTACTTGATTTAGGCAGGCACGTTGTATTATGGTAACGACTCTGGCTGGGCTTAAGGACGTGAATAAATTTACGGTTAAGGTAAAGGTTGGGTTAAAAATTAACGTTACCAAAAGTCTTAGGGTTAAGGTCAGGGTTAGGATGAGGCTTGTCCGCCACATGCCGTCTTAACCAATCCACTAACCACTTACTTTGGGTGGTCTTTTTTTACGCCTGTTTACATGCCCTTATTCATATCTTCCACGTTGTGCGGTCTGTTTCGGCAGCTCTTTGGAGTAATGGAAAAAGCATATGGCAGAAATGCGAACTTTCTTAAGCTTTCCACAGATTCTGTTAATTGCCATGTCCATCTGCTGGGCTCTGTTTTCTTAGTAGGCCTACATGCCCACTTCGCCCTGGTGTTTCAGCCGTTCTGAGGGGAATTGACGCATGCCACCAGTAATCCGAGTCAAAATGTCTGAACATGAAATTAGGCACATTGACCGACGTGAAATCTAATGCTTCTTCTGACGCATGCTGAACTCATATCCAATACAGTCCCTTTTGGGTAAAAAATAACACACTGTTTCATGTTTAACAAACTTTTCATATATAACGCAGAGTAAACTAATCTCAAGCACGAAAAAGGCAAGGTACGCTTATATTTTTTTAAAAAGTGTTAAGGATTTGAGGCCATGGAGAATATTACTGTGCTTTCCTATCGGATGGTCGTTGCAAGGAGAGGAGAACATATTTAAGAACTCTGTAAAAACAACCCATGCAGGATAAGAGGTGTTCTCACCAAGGCTGTTAGCGATGCCAGTGCGCTCCCGTTCGAGCACGCAGATGTGCGACCGCAGTTTGCTAATTGTACTCTGGGAATCTTTCATCATTTTGATTTGCTTTTCCATTTCAGTGGCGAGTGTGGTTTTCTGGGCCATTAAGTTTCGGTGTTCGGTAGCCAGTCTGGAGGACTGAAGCATGAAATTAGGCATCAAGGGACAGGTTTCGAAATCCGGATATGTGGAGATGGGTAGAATGGTTTGGTGGACGGTTGGAGGTACCTCCCTACTACGGATGGTTCTGCGCTATATTCCAGAGGGAGGCCATGATTGGAGCCAGTGTTAAGAGTAGGAGGGCAAAGGTTAGAGACAGGATCCGGAGGGTTCTGTCTGGGATCATGTGGATTAGTGTTAGGGTCGAGGTTAGAGTGGATAACGTTAAGGTCGGGTTTGCTGTTAGGGTCCTAGCGGGAACAGGCACTCTCTCCAGAATTTGGCGCAAAATCACCTGTAGTTTGGGGTTACTAATACCGTGTCCAACCAGGGGATGGCTTAAGCCGCAATCAAGTTGGCTATAGTTCTTTTCCCAGTAAATTTTATGTAGAATTGAGAGTTTAAAAGGAAGACGGAATGCTGAGAAGATGTTTGTCATCCTATAAAGATTAAAAGGAAGGAATCAACAGGGGAAAGTATGGAAACCCATATAAAGTCTCCCGTTTACAGGTAAAAACTATTTACCCCGAGCGCCGCAGCCTTAATCCTTGGCATGTTTCCTGCAGTCAAGAGCAAAACATGCCATATTGGTCGATTGTTGCCAGGAGTTTGTTGAAAGGCTAGTGTCAAGGAAATGTTACTTAGAGGCCAGTTATATGAAAAGGGGGATTTTGTGTGGTAAGCTAACTAAGTGAAGTTTACACTATGTAAACCGAGATCCGTCTCACCAGCGAGGTGCTAGGAGCCCTGTTTGAGAGGATATGAAAGGCCGCTGTCGAAGGCGGATCAACACCGAGTCGTAAGATTCGTCTAGCCTATTGAATGTTGCAGTTACTGTCAGCGTTAAAAAGGCAGTCACACATACGTTTGCTTTATTAAGTAACATTTAATCTACAAGTTGGCTTACGCACGGCATGGCACTTTTCCCTTAAACATCGTGACCACTAAATCATCATGACTAGAACTGACAAAATTGCCATGGAATCAGAATGCTGATTTTTATATCAGAGTCGCCGAGCTAATCGTTTATTAACGTGTTAGAATAGAAACGTTGGACTACCTACTGGCCCCGAACATCGCAGTGGCCAGTTTATTATCCAAGGTCGTGCCCTCAGACGTGACGACTCGCTAGATGCTCGCTTTTAAATAATGCTGGTTCGGTGAGCTGACGCTTCCATGTGCGCTGGTGCCTGTAGTGCTGTAAAATTTTGTTTCAGTTATCAACGTGTGGTGTGCAACCATGAGGAAGACATTTTTAAACTAACTGGCAGTTCGACCGTCGTTACCAACGATATCCACCGCCCGCTCCACAACAAGGCGGAGCAGGGACGGTGACTTGCGCGTGAATTAGTTTAAAATGAGAGTAGACTTGGGCAGCATCTACCACACTCCCTCTTCCCCACCTCCCACCTGTATCCCGTGTCAAGGCAGAGTCGAAAAGACCGAAAGTGGGGGAGGGCGCAGGTGGCTGGCACGGCCGGAGCCGCATATAGACGTGCCATCACACCCCCTGGTCCACACAGTAAATGACCAGGATTTTCCGGCTACAATAACAACACCCCAACAGGGCCAGAGAGACGAGGATGATGACTGGGCAGCCATGCCCAACACCTGTGTACCTAGCGGGAGCGCAAGCGCATCTACCAGCAGGGAACCAGGAGTCACGGAACTGTCAGCGCATACCAGGCTGCCAGGGCCATGGTTTGCTGAGACTGGCATAACGCACGCTTACATATCTTTTGACTTTAAACTAACTAATTGATTTTAATAAGACTTACATGGCGCTTCTTTTCAAACTGCTAAGCATCGGGTGAAAGAAAGCTATAGTCGATGCAAACTAGATACCGCTTAGTGTTGATATTATCCTCTAAAATCGCCTGCTTGAATTTTTACGGGTCTGTTTTGTCACCTGCAGGAAATTGCGCCATCCCAGAGAAGTTTATTCGAGGTAGGTATTCTAGTTACCTAGCTGCGCAGACCTTACAACCCAAATTGGCTCGGGTAGAGGCTAAACGTGTGGAGCATATTTGTTTTCCAGTGCGAGCAATTTCCAAATAATACTATAGACGGCCATCGGCCATGGACTTCAATCATTCATGTCAGATTTACGTTGCTTTAGCAGTCCACCTAAGGCCTCAGCAACATGCTTTTAGTTGAAATACGACAAAAAGTTCATATGGATAGAGGGACACACTCGTGTGTTCGGATAGTTGCATCTATCGCTCATGGACTACAAGTAGGTTGTCATGCCTAATAATTTGGTTTTTAATGCATCCTGTAAAATCTGTGCTTGCGTCATCTAGGCAATTTTTACATCCAGGAAAACGTTTTGCCGTGTGGAAATGGACGTCCAACCTACTAGTCACTCACGCTACTGATGACATCGATTGAGATGGGGCTATCGGTATGAATATAGTTGACGGAGCCGCAGGGTATACTTATGTTGTGCAAACATATTTATAGTTTCGCTAAAGCTAGATGTAGGGTAGAATGGTAAGTTTCACATCTTCCATTTTCGTTATTGTGTAGCAGCATGGCTTAAATGAACAATCACCTTTGTAATAGTTTCCGAAACATGTGGACTAAATGCAACAGTGCGGTTGCCGCAAGCAGCGACGTCCACCGCGTGACCACGGAGTGGGTGAAAATCCCATGACTTGCGCGTGAAGTTGTCTACAGTGAAACAGACTTGCGCAGCGCCTACCGCACCCTGCCCCCAATCACCTGGCTCCGACGGCAAGACAACCGGAGGCGGAAGCGAGCACAGTCTTAAGAAATAAGCTTATTGATTTGCAATGCTGCTGAACCACCTACTCTGGATCGCATGTTGTTCCCTTTGAGGAACTGCTAGCTTCTTCAGACCGGCTTAGGAGATGACGGGCGAAGTCGGCCGATCTTTTTATCCCCTTTGAAGGTCGGTAAGAAAATGCGGACTGTATGCAACGGTGTTCTTCACGCATTTCTGAGTACACGACTAAGCTTCTCCAAGGAGTATGTTTAAATAGTGCCACTTACAAGTTACTAAGTTTTGTTAACTCTTCCATATCACTGAACTGGCTAACAGACTATCTGCCAAAAATGGTGGGATAGTTTAATTAGACGACAGGAGATTGGAGTTTGATTGTTGCAGTATGTCCCTTGACGTCGCGTGAGTCGGCTATGGAGAAGTTCAGCGGTTTTGAGCATCTCATAGAAGAAACCGAACCTCTCATGTATGTTCTAAACGACTCTAATCGAAGATACGTGAGGAGCACAAAAAACGTCTTGTCACACAAACCTCAGCGCACAATTTCTTTACTATTTCCAGCGGACTTGGGGGCTTCTTCGGAATCGTTTCTTCCACACAGGGCTGCTTTGACGCTTTGTGGCCGAACTTCTCCAAGAGGCAATTAATCTCAGTTGTAGTTTTGGTAGCCTGCGTGGTCACTTCATAGAGGTGATTCAGCGCATCCGTGGCCTCCTGAAGTCTCCGCTCAGCACTATGCCATTTGTCAGTTTTATCCATCAAATCATTCTCCAGTTTGTGGACGTGCTCCTAAAGGGGAAAGGCGTACACATAAGGCGCTTTGAGTTATGAAATTTCCAATGGAACAATTCAAAAGACAACTTAGCGAGCACACGTTTGCTTTTGATACATTCTCTTCAAGTCCGGGCAAGTATATAATTATGCTGTAGTTCGGGTTTGGGGGGCAAAGAATGAAAGGAAAAAATTTCAGCCATCCGGAAAGGTAATCATTTGCGGGTGGCTAGCTTGGTGGCTTTGGACCATGACAGTTCGACCATCGTTTTCGATGATGTCCACCGTGTGCCCCACAGTTACAGCAGCAATGGGAGCCGGGACGGTGACTTACGCAGGGGTTTATAGTGCCAGTTGACTTGCGTAGCATCTACCTACACTCTCTCCTCCTCCCTCGCCCAAGCCCGGTGTCAAGACAGAGTCAAGAAGACCGGAGACGAGAGTGGCCGCAGGTGGATGGCTCGGACGGATCCTCACCTTGGCGTTCCACCACACCCCCTGGTCCACACAACAAATAACCAGGATTTCAACCAACACAACAGAGATTTGGAGGCTGGCACGGCCGAAGCCGCACCTGGGCGTGCCACCAACGCCTGGCTCGGATCCCACACTCTGATGGGAGTGCCATAAAGGCCACATTAAAAAGGAGCCATTGCAGCCTGACTCTCAGACCGCCTCCGGTCAAGGAGGAGGTCCAAGTTTACGTAACCTGATTGCATCCGTTTCTGCCGTGGCCAACAGACGCTGCCCAAGTTGTTTCGGATAGTTTGAAAAAACCTTGTAAATAACTAAAGCGACCTCTCTGGCACCTACACGATGGTCTGTGTCTACTATGTGGGCGAGGATAGAGCTGTTAACGTGCCTCATTTGACCCTTTTCTAACCATTTTGGGAGATGTTCTCCTGTTCTTTTGGACAGACGCCGACTCGCACGACCAATATATTCTGCCCCACCGGAGCAGGTGAATAAGTAAATACGCATAGAGGTGGTCTGGGCTGGTAGTTTTTCCGTATGTGATACGACTAGTGGAAAACAGCACCTAGGCCCGCATCTGTTTACTCATTATTTCAATAACAATATAACTGTGCAGGTCTGAAGAGAATTTATAGAAAACAGATGTATGTCATCCACATTGTCTTTTGAACAAGAAGCTTACTAGAAGTGTAAAAAATTAATAGTCTTTAGTGTTGAAACGCAGATGGTTGAAAAGCGAGTTGTAATAACTATACTACCATATAATTGCAGGGAGAGTGCTAGTGCTTGGACAGTTAATTATTCATGTTTTATAAGATGAAATAGTGACCTCTGCCATGGAGCTGGAAATGTTAACTGGAAAAACAGTTCGCTCTAATGCGAAGTTCGCCCGTTAGCGCCTGCGTTCGTTGGGTGGGGGAATTATACTGACCGTTTTATTGTGCTCTATCTCCGAGCAACTTAACTTTTATTTAAATTGGGAACTTTAGGCAAGCAGGATCTGCAACACGGCAACCGAGTAACTTAATTCCTCAAACTAAAATGTGGGTTGGGAGTTCATCACTCTCATAACGTGATCACCTACTTACTTGTTTTTACAGTTCCTGCTTGAAAGACTGAAGATTTCGCATGGTAGCCTGTCCTCGGCGGTGCTACACACGGTCCGACTGAGAGAGACATTATGCTTTCCTCAGTTCTCGGACACTTACAAGTTGTCAGTAAAATACTCCTGTGCACCAGCTATTGCAGTTGTCTAACTTATTCCGATTTATCCATCATATCTTTGGTTGGAGAACACTGTTTGTGTTATGTGTCGTCCGCTAAAAAGTTCGTTTTCGCCAGTAGCTCAGCTGACGGCGAACAAAATTGGATCAAGCAAAATTTCAACCCCAGCATATGAGAGTTACTCGCCCACTTGACAATATCGTAATTTTTTCTGAATTACCCATCACATCTTTTGTCGAGGGACACTATCGATTTTGCATAGGGATGGTTTGCCGTTTTAGCGCAATCAAAGCCGGATAAAATTCAAAACAAAGAAACAGCAGACTTTTAGCAAGAAAGGTCTCGAGAGGGATCAAAATACAGGGGAGTTAGATTCGACAAAAAACACAATTAGGTTTGCCCAGCCTGATAATGAATAAAGTAAGTGATAGCGAAAGACAAAAAGGCCTCATGTTTAAATCTACCTCACCATCTCCACTGCCTAGATATGCCGGCAGTCTGATCTCAGCTTGCGGTGATTGTGTACTGTCCAATCCAATTAATGCCTTGGGTCCGGTTTAATTAGTACAATCGGAATCTCCCTTCACGGTTATTTCTAATTATTTTATTTGGAAACTACGGAGACTCCCTCAAAGCACTTGCATAGGTTGGCGTTGCAGATGGTAGGTCTAGGCGTTTACCTCTCTTGCCTCCAGTTTAGCCGTCAGGGAGGAGTAGTGCTTTTTTGCCTCGTCGCGTTCAGTTTTTACTCGAGTTGTCTCGCGTCTGGATTCCTCCACGGACGTTTCCAGGGCATGGATTTTGGCCTCCAGCGTCGCAATATTCGCCTACGGATAGTGCAAAACGGAAGTCAGTCATCGGCCGAAGCAACAATAGGTATGTCCAAAAATCAACATTTAAGTACGTTTCAGAGACCAGATTTTGCTGGTAAAAGTTTTTTCCGTTTTGACCAATATCTTATTGCTGGCCTTCCAAATCTACTAGGCAATTCGGTGGTCTTTTGTGTTATCTAGGACCTCGAGCAATACAAGTATGCATGTGCAAACTTCCATCGTCTGGTCCGACTTCGTCGTAGCTTAAGCGAAACATGTGACCAACAATTAATTTGTAAATGGCTCAGAGACCAATCTAATTCAAATTGAATCCTCCCTCCTTTCCTGCCACTCAACGACAAATAAGCCCAAAATGACCATTTAAAGCTATTAGTTACGTTGCCTGTGAGAGCTCCGGGCACTAGCTGCAGAGCCAATCGGTTAAGCTGGATGTAGTCTTGCAATGAGGCGCAAAATGCAAACTCCATGTTCAAGTCATTTTGGGTGTTCCTGGTCGCAAACAACAGCGCTAACCCGCAGCTCTACACCTACAAAATTCGGTTTGGTTCAGACCTCAGCTCTTTCCCAACAGGGTTAAGACATAGATGCCTGATAATGACAAGCAAGTCTTTTACTGCAGTGGGTGTTGGCAAGAATGACTTCCCTTACGCATTACGCTTTCCAAAAAACGATTGTCGGAGGGGCGCTGCCGTTGAGAGCTCCTTAAATAAATATATGAAGCCCTTCGACTTTGCTTCAGCTGTGTAATAACAAATGCTTCTGTTTACTCTCTCGCCCAAGCTCGGGCAAGAGAGACAACGCTTTTCAAATAATATTACCTGTCAAAAACACCTTTTGCGACTCTTGCATTTCCTTCAAACGTCTTAAGCTTCTTTTACACTGAAGAACTTTGGTATTAGTTGAAGGGACAAAATAAAATTTCCTCGTCGGTGAGTCCGAACTGCTATTGGTTAAATACAAAGGACAAAAGAAGTAAACTCAGGAACTCCCGAAGTTTGTGAAGTTAAACATGTTTGGAAACCTAACACGCCGTCCCGCCCAGTGATATACGGTCAGTCACAGTTGTACTCACTCATGACTGAACTGCATACAGCCCAATTTTGGTGAATAGGGTGACGTCCTTCAGGCAGAGGAAATAAACGAGTACAAGATCGGGTGTGTAAGCAAGCATGGATCACGTGGCAATGATGTCTTTGGCAGAAGTTTGTTGTCTATAAAGATATCACAAATCAAACTCTTATTTCGAGCTGGCACATTACAAGCCCTTTCAAGTAAGCACACTCCACCTACACTGGGTATTGGGACTGGGTAGAATCAGTGACCTAGGATAAATCGGAATCGGATAGTGGTACAGTCAGCAATGACAGGAACGACGTTTCGGTCATCGCAAGCGATAAAGTCCACCACGCGTCACACAAAGTGGGTGCAGCACTGATGTCTTGCGTCTTGATTAGTTTAGAGTGAGGCAGAATCGCGCAGCGTCCACCAAACTCTCTCTCTTTCCTAACCCACCTTGTTCCGACGGCGAGACAACGTCAGGACGACCGGAGGTGAGTACGGGCGCAACGACTGACAAAGCTAAGCAGCACGTCTACGCGTGCCACACATGCGACCTAGTCCCCACTGCGAGCGTCAGGCTACTAAAGGGGCGGCTCGGGTCCTACATGGGTCGTAATGACATACAGGCCACATTAAGAAGGACGTATTGCAGCTTGAGCCCAGTACTGGGAAGAACCCAGTTATCCTGTCAACTGGAAACCCTCCAAACTCCGATTATTAGCGTGACGTGATAGATTCAAGCTCGTGAGATTTGTTTTATGGGGTATAATACGCTGTTGTTGTGGAAGGATGGATTTCTAAGTGTAAGCTTCGCTCTCGCTTCCCTCTCTCAGGCACCACTCCACGGTCCGGGCCTGGTAACCGACGATTAATGGCATTCGGGCACAGTGGCTGACGAGGCGTAAAAGCCTACGTCTATGGCTTCCCACCACACGCCTGTACGGCAGCAGTTACTGACTCGAGCGGACTCAGCAAAGTCCACTGAAGGTGAACTATGGACCAGATTGACCGCCATTCTAGTCCAACAAGTCTGCATTGCAGTCCGTTGTGAGGACCAACAGCCAAAAAAGGAAGACTTCAATAACTCTTTTGACATACTTGTCTCCACCAGTCGACGTTGCTACGGCCCCAGGCTAGAGAGACCCTCGGCTTGAACTGGAGCTCTTTGGTCTCCTAACTTGAGTAATATCGTCCGTGCGCGAGCCCCACGTTAACATCCAGTTGGCAGCGACAATCATTATGCAAGGTCACGTATGGCTGCTGTCTCCCGATCTCCATGGCAAAACAGGGTTATCTGTATTCCGGCCTACAGTCAGGTTAGATTGGCGAACGTTATTTCGATGGGGCTTCCAATTATGATCCTGAGGTTCCACTGACTCCCACAGAAACTAGAATCATAGTTCATGCTGTCGTTGAACATGCGTCATACGACACCCACACTGCAGATAGCCAGAGGGAACTCCAAATGGGCTCATCGGTCTCCGGTTTAGTGAGCATGTGAGACCCGTTATCTCTGCGAGCAGTTTATAAAAAATAACTATCCGAAGTCATTCATAAGTAATTGCCTACGCGGTCGCCTCCAGAGGCTTAAAACATCAAAACCACCAACGATATGGCATTCTCTGCCATACATCAAGGACGTTTCAGAAGCAACCGAGCGCATTGCTGCGGAGTTAGGTGTTGGAATTGCACATCGCTCCAAAGGCACCATGCGCAGTGGGGACATTAAAACTAAAGACCGGTTAAAGCCTGAGGAGCCATCTGGAGTAGTGTATCGCATCCCGTGCAAAAACTGTCCTCGTAACTGAGCAGGCCAGACTGGACACATGCTCGGACTGGGCATACACGAACATAAGCTGGCTGTGCGATGGGGCAACGCGCTATCACAAGTAGCCGACTACCTCTACAAAACGGATAATGAACTTAATTTCGTAACCACCAAAATATTCGTTCACGCCGGCAACAAAACAGATCGAGAACTGATTTAAGTCTGGACCTCGGATTAGAACTTCGTCAATCGATTTATCGGCTTGGCGCCGGCGTACAGAGCCCTACGCAGTCACCTCCAGTCTTGCGTCGTTGGCCGATGATTGGCTTGCACGTCCTATAGCTGTCGCTTGTTCTGTTGCTGCTACCATATCTGACGATGGACTCCTGCATGAGTTCGAAAGCTCAGAACAATAAACAAAGTGGTCCGGTGCTTGACTCCTCTTCTTCTTCACTTATGCATACACCTGGAATTCGGACTTTCGCCTAAACTCGAGCCAAATCCGTTTTGGAGATAGCTAAACACACAGAACCAGTCCTTCATTGAGATAGTATTCAAAATGGCCACGTCTCATGGCCATGATAAAGTGAAAACTAAACTATAAATCGGGTTTCATGCTACGTCATGGAGCAAAGACTTTCCAGTGTTCGGGCGGCGTGGATGTCGCACACAGCTAAAACGTCCTGACGGTGGTCAACAAGTTGGCAATCGGTTAAAAGTAGTTTCTGTTCGGATAGGATTTCCTTTCAAAATACAGTGCTGTTGACTTTTATTCGCGAGGGCTACGCATTACCATTACGAGCTTAACCAAATGACGTACGTTTAACTTTGCGTTCTCATCAGCCGACACCTTTCTCAACTCAGTAATTGTCTTGTTCTTTTCGACGAGCTCCTGCTGAAGACTTTCCCGGGCCTTGTTGGCTCGCTCACTGATAGTTCGGGCTTCCTGAGTGGCCACTTCGGCCCGCTGGATGGCGGCAGCTAGCTCAGAATGCATTTTGGACTTCTCCTCCTTGAATCTGCAAAAGAACCCAAACTTTCATATGGTTGAGGTTGCATGGCCATCAGCAAACAAGTTGGGCAAATTCTTTACCCAGCTTATGCATCACTGCAGCAGAACCAGTCTCAGGAAACTGTTTAAGGAGTTGCGTACAATTTTTTACATCCCATTACTTGTAGCGGCCTGTAAGATGAAAGACGTTGATATTTCTATGCTGCCCATTCCCTCCCCTATGCCGTTTTTCAGACTACTGTACATAAGTTAGCTATTTTAAGATTGATTGAGTCGATCCTTTATATTTTGACGGCCTATTAACCCCTTACGATTTTGATCCAAGGAGAGATTTGGCCTCTTGTAATTCGATAACCGCCCAGCAGTAAAGCATTCTGGACTACTGAGTGAAGTCGCGCGCGTTGCCCGACAATCAAGCCAGTTAATCAAAACCTCCACCTATCCCGCAAACAGTCGATCTTCTTAAAAACTACACGCTTGACATCGTAATGAATGAGAGATGAGCACAGGGTCTGGTTTTTTTCTCTCTAAGACTGCTTGTTGGCGATAATGGGTCAGAAACATTCGTTCTGATCAATATGCGTCCATTTTTATTTAAGACGGTTAATTACGGCCGCTAAAGTGCAGAAAGGTCATCTAGAAATCATGAAATAGGAGCGAGGGGTATTTCCGATGCGGCCGTCAGTCAGCTATACGCCATCCGCAGACCTGTCAATCCCAGGGTTTATGCCAAACAACCATACGTTAGTGTAGACTAAGGCCTCATCACTGATTCACTAGCTCCTAATTTGTCAGCTGCACCTGTGGAAATTCAAAATCCCACTACAGCGACACTTCTCAATTTGTTCTGCTTGCAGGACTGAGTACGGACGGCCTATTTTGACTTGTACCTCTAGCATGAAGTAATCTCAGTTCTTGGCGTGACGGCAAGCGGTCAGCGAGCCGGTCGACAAACCAACGGAGATTGAAACGGCTATTTCCAGCCCAGTCCCCATTATCAGCCATAATCAACAGCTGATTCTTAAATATGTTTGCTTAGCACCATCGCAGAGTTTTTTTGACGTCACTGAATGCTTCATACTGCAAAACCTGAGCATTTTTATGTCTGTAGCTGTCAGAGCCTCAAATGGCAGAAGTGGTGCTTTGCAAAGCAAAAGAAGAGTTCAACAAGGGGATTGTAGGTAATTTCTTAAATCACCTCTTATCGAAGTCGGACGCCATTTTCGATTTGTCTGACAAGATTTCCTCCTTGATGTTTTTTATAACTTCAGCTGACTGCTGGTATTTTGCCGTTTTGGAGGCCAGGTTAGATCTCAAGGTCTAGAAATGGAAAAATGAACAGTTTTCTTCAGTTTCTTAACTGAATATATACATGCAGCCACAGTGAAGGCTTCGAGCAAACTGATTTCTCTTCACTATGATCGACCGCAAAGCATATTGCAATGAGGTTAGGATGCTAATTGTTCATTTTGGGTGCATTACGCTTAATTTGGGGGGGGGGGGTCATTGTTAGAGTAGGGTTAAGGTTAGTGTTTCGCTTAGGGTTAGCGTTAGGGTTAGAACACGGGAATGGGCATCTCCCAGAATCTACTGCAAAATCACCCGCCACACAAGGAGGTACCTATTCCCCTTTCCTTTCGAAGTCTTTCAAATTGGTCATTACAAAATTCACTGGTTGGGGTTGTGTTACGAAGAACTTAGTCGGGGATACCTAAGGAGGATTGTCCATTCCAGCGTTACCGACTCAGGTTAGATTTCGGTAAATCAGTTGCTGACGACCTCTAAATGCCCAAAACTGCAAGCGTCTACAAAGGTCTACAGAAATCTTTTCCCGTTAAGCTGCGATGACCAAGTTACGGTTTCAGCCTACTTTTCACGGTCAGTTGAAGAGTGCTAGACTTATGTATATATTTTTGCATCTCCGTTGTTCATGTTACTTGTCTTTTTAGCTACCTTTCCGTACACAGCCAGGACGCGGATGGAAAAGCAATAATCTCTTTTTGGAAGAAAATGCTATATGATTGAATCAGTATGAGAATGTTAAATGTGGAGAGTCTACTTTGTACGGCAGCTGTCCAAGGTTTTAGGCCTTAAGAAATCATTTAGAAGGGGTTTGCAACTACGTTTGTTTCTCTCTCAAACTTTCTTTCAGCCTGTAGGCGAAGACATCTACTGACTCCAGCTTGGCCGGCAGTTCTGTACGTCGCCGTCCAAAAGACTCTTGACTTCCTCAAGCGTCGCCTGGAAATACAAACTGACCTTTTATAGGCTGGGAAAGAAAATATGTCTTTGGGGAAGATAAGTGAAGAGGAGGCGAAATTAAACCGAGAAGGAGAATTAAGCAGAAAAAGCAGGCTAGCGACTTACTCGAATAGCAGAATAGAGACAAAAGATTATTGACGGCAACGCATGAACCCCCCGGTGGCCAGTTGTAAAAAGGCTGTTAAACGCCATTTCGTCCACATCCTTAAGAATATGCTTTCCAAGCTCAAGGGCTTCCACAGCCGCCCCATAGAATTCCTCGTACTGCTTCCTGGCTCTGTCCTCCTGGCATTAAAGGCAAACAATGGTAAAGGTCAGTTGTGTGATCAAGTGTGCTTTTGGTGGATAGAACAGACTGTGGTGCGGTGCGTTGCACACTCACAGGAGTGAAACGAGAGAAACGAAAGCAGCAGCTCTGTTACCTGCAGGGCTTCTGCGCGTGGCGACTGGTCGGGTCGCGCCTTTTGAGGAGGGTCGTGTTCCCTTTGTGTTGGGACCTCGTTTTTCTCCGACTTTTGAAGAGCCTGCTCAAGGGCCTGGAGTTTTTGCACAATTGTGGATGTCCTATCCTACAAAAATGAAAAGCCTGTGTGTAAAAAATCCTCAGACGTTAAGAGACTTGAACCACGGTCTTATTATTCTCACACCTTCGCATAAGCGTGATACGGTTTCAAGATAACTCCAGCTGTCACCCACAAAGGTATCCAAAACTGAAAGCGGAATTCCAGATTCAATGCGTTAGTAAGTCAAGAATAATAAAACATTACGTCCTTTTAACTGGGAAAAACGCGTTGAATTCAAAGCACTGAGTACTAAAGCATTAGGCAATAAATATGACCGCAGATTTTCCAGTTGAAACCAAGCGTAAGCCTGACGACTTCAGCATTAGACGAGATCCTGTCAAATAGTTGCTACCCTGCGACACGTTTTAGGTGGTATTCACGACAATTGAATGTCAAAAAGGACTTGTCTGTTGAATTAGCAATCACAGCCTCGACATCTCCTTTTGAGTTCAAGAAGTCTACCCAATAACAGGACATCTTTACTGAGGCGCATTTCCATGGCACAAAACGCAAGTGGTAAAGTATCACTTTGTTTGTTTAGCATTCCCATGAAGGGGAAACTAGAGGATTCGACCGGTTGTTGAAATATACAGTACGTGTGCTAACTCATGAAACGCTAACTGAAATTCCGAAAGACGTTTTCGCCTCGAAAAGATTGCCTAAGTAGGGTCTTAAAAATTACTCATTATGCAGCATAATTCTATGATAATTCAGTTACCTCGTGATGCTGGCTTTCAAACAAACATCTTTCCGGCCGCATACAAAACCCACACCCCGTGAAAAATCACTACTCAACTAGCATACATTTTTCTCCCTGATTTTCGATGCCCTCACAAATGCAATTGTATTTCATGGAAACATGCATAAAAATATTCATTCTTTTACTCATTCAGTAGAACATTTTATACTCGAAGGAGGGGCATTATTCGGTTTCAAAAAGTTTCTATTTGTGAGGTTTTTTAGTACCGTGAAATGTCCGTTCATAACACATCATGTCTCTGCATTCACCAGTGTTGCTTTAGAGTTTACAACGCATGGTGTGTAATTTGTAAACCCTTAATGCGAGTGCAACGGCAGGTCAGGTTCAAAATTATTCGGGGATTGAAAAAGTTTTCGAAAACCTAATTATGCACTTTTTTCGAGTATAAAATTGGAAATAGAAGTAAGGTCCTACCTAATAAGAAAAAAACGAATATTTTTATGCCTGTTTTCCAGGAAATATAATTGAATTTTTAGAGTCAACGAAAATTAATGAGAAAACTTCATGCTACTTGGGTAGTCATTTTGTACAGGGTATGGTTTTGCATGCGGCCGGGAAGATGTTCGTTCGAAAGCAAACATCTCGAAATAACTGAATTATTGTAAAATTATGCTGCATGATGATTAATTTTAATACCCTACTTAGGTTATTTTTTGAAGCGAAAACGCATTTCAGAATTTCGGTTAATAACATCTGCACTTAACCCCATTTCTGTGTGAAAGCAACCGGAACTGTGCCTTTTTGCATTAAATGATAGGTATTGTTGCTCTAGCGTGGACTGACACAGACAAACTGCACGTTCTCAAGTAGGGGAACATACAATCCAGTAGTCATTCTCACTGATGCAAACGGACGAACTGTCTGAAGCAGCCGCCATCCAAATAGGTCATCCTGTTATGTCTGGGCAAGTCCTCCACCACGAAATGGATGTGAAAAATCAAATCACGTTATAGGGATCTCCGAAAACAAATTACGTCATTGTAACTGTATAGGCCTAATTTCTCAATGGCATCAGCGCGTTTATGTTGTTTTCATATGAAGTTAGTAATACCATTGTGATTTGGTGCATTGCTCTCTCTCTCTTACTCACTGGGCTCAGCGAGACTTAGAACCGTATCGTCACAGGTATCTGGACATGCTCTCTCCAAGATGCCAACGGCAGTCTTAGATGAGTTCATTAAGTAAATCTTCCTATAAATATAAGCACGCCGACCTTTCCGTCGAGCTAGCAGATATTTGGGTGTTGAGATGCCTGCAATGTAAGGGCTCTGTGGTCTTACGATTGACCTGCCGCGTTGTCGGTTCTTCAAGACTTCTATGTAGCCATACAACGACAAGCGCTATCACTTTCATAAGGAAATTGTCTTAATGCTGTTAGACGCGCATGGCCTGCTACACCTTCTGAAGAAGAAACAGTTAGGGCGAAAGCACTTACAAACGTTACTTAAGACTTCATATGGTCAGCCGCTATGGTTTCTTAAAACAAACTTATGAGTGGGTTTTTTGACCCCAACGCTAGACATGATTAAGCTAAGCGGGCAGATCGGCCGTTCTTTTTGCCGTACTCAGCCTCACTTTCACACATCGAGATTTAATGGGACAAAATATAGAGCTCTGTCTATGACCCGCATAGCAATGCATCCAGTCGGGCAAAAACGAAGGATGTACTTACTTTAGTTAGACAACTTAAGTCTTCACTTTTTAAAACGACGGCAAAAACAGTCAACTAAAAAGATGTCCACCTTCTTTGGAAAACGGTTTGCGAGCAATCTATGCATGAAGGTACTCCAAAGCTCTTGAAAGACGGCTGATAAGCCAGCAACCATCAACGCTTTTGTATGGAGATAAATTCCGAAACTAGGAGAATAATTGTCTAATTTTGACAGTTTCTTTGTATTTGGGCCTTAGTCCTGAAGTATAATGTTTCAGACCCTCCTGAGAATACTCTTGCAAAAACCACCGGTGGGTTATGAAGATAGAGTAAGGGAACCCTCGTTAAACGAGCTAGATAAAAAGTGGTTTCTTGGGTTTTTCATTATTTTTTGTCCAAGTGTATGACGGAGGTTTAAGTCAACCCATGTTGAGAATATTCAGGAACCCACTCACCTCAGCCTTCCTATCGACTTCTGCCAAGTGACCCTCCAATTCTGCCAAATAGTCCTGTTTTCGGTCGTTTCGACAGCAGAACTTTTCAGGAAATTCCGGGGGCTGAACGACAGCTTTAAGTGATTGCTCTCCCATGCCTCCCACGTTGGTTGGTTTCGCATTTCTTGAAAATGGCGTAAATAATTTAGAACTAATCAAAGACATAGTGGCAACACTAATTGAATATAACTTCCTGTTCAATGTACCCTAATGGAGACGCAATCGGCTGTCAGTACTTCAAGTATGTATATGCTTAAGTCGGGAAGACTGAAGAAACCACCTTTAAGAACGGTGATTTTCGGAACAAGTCAATTTTAGCATATGGTTTAACACAGAATGTTATCAATTGTAAAATGTAAGTCTTGGCAAACTAGGAAATATGTCCGAATATGTGGAATTCGTTCACAGACTACCTCTTCCGATTGCATAGGCTTCTCATTTCAGGAGGACGCAAATGACCTCTTAACAGTCAATTAAAATTAAAGGCTCGCTATTATCACTCCATAGTTTCCAGGGTAGAAACAGAGCATATACTCCCACCGGCGACTAGTATCTAGCATTATTCTTGAAAAATCGAACAATAATTGTAATCTGCTTCCTTTGATGTAGTCTACTGATTTGATTTAGTCTACTTTCGCCTCCTCGAATAGTTGAAAATTTTTTAAGAAGCCTAAAAGTACTCCAAGTACTTGTGTACAATACATAAAACCCGACTTTCACCCGAAAATGCTCTAGCTGAGACAGCCACAAATGAAAGTGGCAGCCTGAGGGAGGCTAAGACGATAAGGGTCCACTAAACTATAGCAATTACATGAATCAAGGTTTGAGGTTCTACAGCATATTTTTGAAGTTAACAAAAAACGTGCAAATATAAAGCATCTAAAATGGTACATCACGTCCTTAACAAACAAAGGAATGTTTGTGTAATTGCGCATTCGTTAATTTACCTGGTATCAGGCCTTTCTAAAAATACTTCTAGAGAATCGTCATTGGGTCGGTTTGAGGGGTGCACACACTCATCTCCGTAATGTTGCGCATTCTTGACAGTCGTGTAGGGCTGCGCACTGAATGTCTAGATACATTTCACAGTTTATGATTTGTTCAATATTACAGAAATTAGTGGAAGCAATGAAGTTGAACAGCGCTCAAACACAACTGCCTATAATTTAGAGATTGCATAGGAAATGTCTGGCTCAATGAGTACTCATTTTCCCTATTCCACTACGTTTTTGCATTGTCCACGCATGTAAGGAAGTTGAGATGCCGGCCAAAATATTTATACTTGAAAGATATGCCTACCTCAAATTACCTGGAAACGATTCCTATAAGACGCGCAAATGGATAACTCTTTTTTCTCTCTTAGGAAGCAGCAGGTGTCTCATCGACCGAATCAATAGAAGTTGCCTGCATTCCGAACTAAAACCTTGCATTTTCAAGTTTTGGACTGAATACTTTATGTATTATTGTTGGCCTACGAGATTATTATGCATTAGCAAGACAGTTGAGTTATTTGTCGCTATGCTTAGCCGAGCCAATTCTTAAAAACAGTATAAGATGAACCAACTTGTTGGGGTTGTTAGAAGTGGAAATTTCTAACGCATGTATGTCAAAATAACTTACCCTTTCTTTAGATTTAGTAGCATTAATTAATGATTTAAGCGAACTCTCCAGCTCTAGAATTTCATTTTCTTTCTCCCAAATTCTTTTTTTCTTCTCAAGTTCCAGAGATTCGGACTTTTTTCTTGCAGCAACAAGCTCCGCTCGGAGAGTGTCAATTACATTAATTATGTCCTCTTGCGAGACCTGTAATAATAAGTAAATGAAAACACGTCAATGGATAATTACTCCAATTATATTTTCCTATTAGTCTAAAGCGTTCTGTTTGGCAACTCTCGACAAAATCCATTAACTTAATTAACTCATACCCATTTTCGACATAGCATTTCAGGTGAATGCTAAAGACCAGGTGGTTTCTGACGATAAATACTTTCGCCATTTTGCCAAGTATATCTATGCGACCATAAACTGCAAAAGGGTCACCTACTAGAACGCACCGACCTTATTTCACTTTTCGAAGATTTGTCATGAAATGTAAAGAAAGACAAAGCACTCAACAACTGATATCAGAGTAGACTACCGAGCCTCCTCGTTTCTTTGCAGCCAATAGAGATAAAAGACGCTTGTTTATAGACCAGTTGAAATCAAGGTTTTTAATGCCTTACTGTTTATTTTGCAGCTTATCCGTTTATAATAACTCCAGTCAAGTCGAAACTAACTTAGTTTATTGCAATGATCATCATTTTAAAGGTTTTCTAATCCAAAGACTGTCCCAAATGAGAGACTCGTCAAAAGTTTCACAACCGTTTGCTGTTTCCGAGGATGACTGGCTAACATGCCGCATGCGTTTGGCTTCAAACGTTGCACGAAAGTTTATTTGCGCACACGTTTCATCATACATACAGCACAGATACTAATTAAAGCCCGGTATGATGACCCGTGCAACATGAGTATACTACTGACTGTCCGTTGATAATTTATGATTATCGGGTTGCTAACCTGTAGAAAACAATTATTTATCCCAGCTACGTATATCAACTTTCAGACTGAGACTAAAAGGCCTTATTCCAAATGAGGTACTCCCCGTTAACTCATGTATTTTGAAGAAGACTAAAGAAGTCAAATATTACCTTCTGTCTTCTTACTTATATTTATTTGGTTTGAGGTTCGCTCAAGTGTGTAGTATGTACGCTAACTCATTAAATGTCTACCAAAATTCCGAAATGCGTTTTCGTTTCGAAAAGATTAATTACGTTAGGTTGTTAAACTAATCAGTTTGCAGTATGATTCTATAATAGTCCAGTTACCTCAGGATGCTGGCTTTTGAGCGAAATTCCTTCCGGCTGCATACAAAAATTATGCTCTGTAGATAATGACTACTTAAGTAGCATGCATTCTTCCCATTGATTTTCGATGCCCCTAAATGTCCAATTATATTTCAAGGAAAGCATGCACAAAAATATTCATTATTTCGCTCGTTCGGTAGAAAATTACGTCTTCTTTCAAATTTATACTCGAAAGAGGGACATAATTCGGTTTTCAAAATTTTTTTAACTGTGAGAATTTAAAATACCGTAAAATGGTCTTTCATAAATCATGTATCTGCATTTACCGGTGTGGCTTGTAAAGTAAACGATATGGATCAAATCCTATGCTAAATGTCATGAACCCGTATATAGTCTTCTCTCAATACTGTAGAGAAATGTGTGGTTTTCCCTACGCGGAAATTATATGGTTCGTACTTCGGAAACCCTAAATGCAAATGTGACGGCAGAGCGGGTTCAAAATTATTCGGGAATTAGACGTCTTTGAAAACTGGATTATACCCTTCTTTCGAGTATAAAATTAAAAGAAGCCGTAATTTACTACCAAATTTGCGGAATAATGATAAACATTATTCATATTTTTATGAAATATAATTGGACATTTAGAAGCATCGAAAATCAATGAAAAAAAATGCATACTTCTTAAGTGGTCATTTTCACAGTGTGTGGTATTTGCATGCAGCCGGACGGAAGTTCGTTGGAAAGCCGGCATCCTGAAGTAACTGAAATATTATATAATTATGTTGCAGGCTGGCTAGTTTTACAACCCTATTTAATTAATCTTTTCGAAACAAAAATGCATTTCGGTATTTCGGTCGACATTTCATGAGTTAGCCCACCTATTGTAAAAGGTCCGAGAATGAACTATGAACACAATGATCGAATTCAAATTTCAAAGACAAGTCGACTCGAAAAGCATATCAGAGAATTTGAAAAGCAAATACAAATGAGTTATCTAAAATCAGGCAGAGAACTGTCATTTCCTAAACTGGCCTAATAGCTGACAGGTGCACACTGTTTGCTGCCAGCACATGAATATCGGAAAAATGCTACATCTATGACCATTAACAGTCGTGGATCAGAACTATTAAAACTAATGTATTCAAAAAAGCGAAAATGGAACCATGACAACATAGTACTTTCTTGTGGTAAGAGCGGATTTATTTAGTCAAAAAGAGAAAACTGGACCTATTGGACTGCGCCTGCCTGATTAAATCTAAAATCTTGGAATCACAATTTGGCTTTTCTTTATAAATAACAAAAGAGGACTTTGCAAACTAAATGTCATCCAATAAGGCAAACAAAAAAATTCAGGACTTTGTTTATTATGTCCAATTCGAGTGCTTTGAAGGATAAAGCGTCATTAGCAATAGCATGTACGCATAGTTTTTAAAACCGGTAGGCCCACTTAGATTATTTTTGTCATTATTTAATTCACCAACTGTGTTTAATCAGATTAATCAAGATTTGGCGGTAGACCGATAAAGTATGTTCTTTTTGAATTAAAACGCCAATCCTGTGTGTGCATAACAGCCTCTGCAAAGCTCAGAAACATCATAAAGCCTAGAAAATATCGCTCACAGTAAAAGACAAAAAACATATAAAATTAAAATAAATTGCCGCATACTCATTCATGTGGAGTCCTGCCAAAAAATAACCTTATCCAATCTATGTTATTTCGCTGAGAAAGTCTCAAAATTCCGTAGACTATAAACTAAGGCCAAAACTCAGTTTTCAAGAAGCATTTAAAGCAATGCTTTGCGGTGTAAAAAGACTTTAAGGCATCCACGTTACTTAAGGGTGTCAAACCACCGTTTAGAACGCATATAAAGTGAAATTCCAAAAAGTTCACGGTTGTGGGACTGTCGTTTGAGATTGAGAGAACTTTTTACTCAGAAGATAGCGGTCAGTTTTTTTTGATGACACCATTCACTCCCAGACAAATAAAGTCCGATAGCAACTTACCTCCTTTCCGAAGTATCTACAACGGCGTCTCGACCATTATTCACTATTATCCGTTTATCCATTAATATAAATAGTTAAACGGAAGAGCTTTGTGACAAAAACATTCTCGTAATTAACCAAGTTGGGTTGTAGGATCGGTCTTACAAATAACGTCAGAGAACTCCTCTTTCCCGAAGAACATGGCAGATTATAGAACTATGGCATAAGGAAAAATTCATAGAAAATTCTAAAAACAAGACGGAAGTCCAAGCTACGAACGCTTGATAAATGCGTTCTTTATTTTGTCTTCTGTTTCCGCGACGATGATGTGAACACTTGGCTTTTAATCAGACTGAAAAAGACCCAACTTCAATCGCGATCGCGATGAATAATTAATTATCCGTCACTAATTAATGAGACATAGTCATGAAGACGCTAGTGTGACTTACACCATTCCGTTGCCAAGTAGTTTCCCTCTCAGCGGAGGTACGCCACATCGAGCTGTTTGGTGGATCGATAGAGAGATTTCCAAACATTGTGTTGGGAGGCTGACGGTTACCTGCACTCCGCAGCCTGTGAAAATTTTCGGGACAATCAATTGAATCTTGATTTGGATTTGCGTAGTCTTCAAAGCGTACAGAATAGGGCCTTTTCAAATAAGATAATGAATATTTGCCAAGTTTCAGCTTACTGGGTGTTTGTTGGCTAAATGGCAAAATAAAACCGTTAGTGAAAATTAAATACCCAATTATGCGGATCCTCCGAGTTTGCATGAGGTCTACATCCGCTTGACTCACCTTAAATAATGAGACAAAAGACCCATCGTACTTATGATTTCGTTGATGCGATCTACCAGCCTTTTATCTTGAAATATTTCAGTTTGCATCCCCGAAAACAAAGGGTGTTAATTGTCCTAGGCGCCTTTTAAAAATTGTGTTGTCATCTCTGAAAAGGTAAAACAAGTTTGAGAAACTGGTGGCTACCGTACTTTTTCTTAAGGCATATGGCAAACATAAAAGTTCAGTCAAAATTCGGTATCCATACGAAGACAAGACGTCTCCAAATGTCTTGATTCTTTTCTTTAATAGTCTAACATATCATACGATGCTTGGACTGCGCACTAGACAACATATCAGGAAATTGGAAGGGTTTTGAGACAGCTAGCCGATATAAAGATAAGTAACTTTTGGAAAACATGGGGAACAGGCCAAATTAAACACCGCTGCAAAAGTCTCCGAAAAGTTAGAGAACAGCAGAACGGTTGAATGTTTAATGGGAGAAGAATTAAAGCGATCGATGGAACAATTGCTTTATTTGTTTGACAGTTCGGATTTGCGTTCAAACCATCGCCACAGTAAGAACCCTCTGGAGTCTTTTGCAGGATCTGGTTCAGTTGCGGCAAAGCTACTACGCCGGAAAAACTGGAAGACTTCTCTGGACGCGGGTCACTGAACGCGCGGCAGCAATGTAGAGAAATGACGCCAACTCTCAAGTCAAAATCACCTCGATATGACCCGGCTGCACATTCAAGTTCGATGAGGCCGAAATCCTCTCGAGAGGTGATTTTCGTGTGGGCCGCGAGCAGCTGCGGCATGGTTCACGTGTCCTCAGTCCACCAACAAGTGCAGCGACATCCCCACTCCATACTCCGTGCTGAGGTATAGTCTGAACAAAGTAATTAACTACTAGGGGAGCGCTCAGGCCGGTGAGCCAGATGTCTGAGCAATCATCACGCTAGTATCCGACACGGGCGATGAGATTTCGGCAAACAACAACTTGCATGACGGCAAGCAAGAAGTTGGCGCATCAGCGGGTAGCAGTTCTTGATGAAAGGGAGAGCAGTTGCATGTCATAGGTATGCGGTAGCCTAGCGACTGCATTCTATAAACACTGTAATTTCCAGCGCCCGAATCACCCATATTTGTGACTGACTCTGATGATGGGCTCGAGCGTGAATCCGAAACGTTAGGCGAATAAACACCTTGTCCCAGCGGTCTTCTCTTCTTCTTATCAACTAGTTCCTGGAACTCGTATCTTCACTTGTTTGAAGAGGGTCGACTAAATCAGAAAGGAAACTGTAGAGAACCAAAAGCAAGTTAACATCCCGCGGTAAAATCGGTCAAATACAGACATGTGCTTCAAAATAATGCCCGTCCGGACGCCGGACAATGCAATTCAGTGGATATTATAATAACATCGCTTACTCTTGGGTTAAAACTCCTGGACAGAGTGGACCCTAAGTCCAAGTTAGTAAGTAAACCGGTGGGTCGCATTGGGTTAGCAAAAGAGTCAAGATGATTCGTGAACAGTCGTCGCGCAGGCGCCTAAGGGTACTCCTTTGGGCTAATCCTTCAAATGTTTAAAGACTCGATGCGCAAGCATATCTGTCCAACCCCTGTACCCGCTCACGTGTGACCAACTTTGGAGTGTTAATGCATGTTGCGTATATGAATATCTTAAGAAACAGGCAAGGTCAAACCGCTGGCTTCGTATTTGAAGATAGTCAGTTTAAATCAGCTTAATAAGGGAATGAGGTTTTTGCCCTTGAGCTCCTTATTCATATCCAAAAACAGCAACAGAATCAATTATTACATCAATGATTCGGAAAACGCAAAAGTTATCGGTATGTGTAAGCCAGGCGCAAAATGCCCCAGTGACACAACTGTGATTATAATATGCAGTAGTTTCTCAGGAAATGAGCGTCTAGCCTGCATTTAAAAGATTCAACATTTTCAGACAGGCCCATCGCATCAGGGAGTCCGTTCTATGCCCCAATGACTCTCTGAAAGAAAGTCTTCTATCAGACGTCCATATGGGTCAGCCTCCTCCGCAGTTTAAAGGGATGACAACGAAGATGGCCCGTCCCGGCCCATTCGAAGAATTTGCCAAAGTCTAGGGCCCACTGACGGCCTCTAACAATTCGGTAGGTTTGAATACGATTGTCGCGCAGTGACCTGTAATTCAGAGGAAACAGATTTAGTTCAGCTAGCCTGGTTTTTTAAGGCATATGATCAGGATTCTTGACCATCTTCGTAGCAGTCGTCTGTAATCTTTCCAGTTGTTTATAATCCTTTTGAACCACAGTTGCCAGGCCCGGACTGCGTGTTCTAAGTGAGACCGAATGAATACTCCGCACGTTTTTTTAAGCAGCTCCTAATCGATCTACACGAGTCCTCGCCTCAACGCAAATAAAACCCGTATCGAGCGTTCAACTGCCTTCTGACACTGCGGTGATGTTTTAAGGGAGGAGGTCATTAGGACGCTGACGTCTTTCCGTTCCTCAACACTTGAAAGGAGCTGTCCATCAAGGCGGTATTGAAAGGAATCACATTCCTTACTGGTCCTTCTAGTGCGGAGTCTCAGGACGACGCATTTGTTCACATTAAAAATGAGGAGCCAATAAGCTGACGTCGACCCTACCATTCTCATCCAGTGCGCGATTTCACAGCTCAGTCAAGAACAGTAGACTGTAAAGGCCCGAGCGGTGTTGTCTGAAGTCGTGCTGAAACGCTGAGAGTGAGTGGTTCTGTCCCACGAACTCCATTTTTGCTTTCTTTACTTCGATCTTCATTATTTTACAGCAGATGCAGGTGAGACTAACGGCCGGTAATTGTTAGCACTAGTGCGAGCCTCACCCTTGTATATCGGGTGGGTATTTGCTATCTTCCATTCTGATGGAAGCCTCCGTAATTAAATGACGAACGGCAGATGCTTGCTATTGGTTTGGAGAGTTCCTTGGCCAATTCCTTTCAGCGACAGTTGGCGGGAAGGGCATGGATTGAAGCATGAGACCAGCTGTCCCAACAGCAGTGCTGATGATGTGACTCCGAAACTCCATTTCCCTGGCCAAAACCGAGGCAAAGTACCTTTCCAATCGTTCGGCTTTCTCGCTGTTTTCAACGATTTCTACACCATTATTATACTTCAGTATTGTGACCGGTCCTTGTTTTTCAGTCCACTGTTAATATGGTGAGATAAAATCTTGGGCTTCTGTTCAGCCTGTCGGATAATTCTGAATTCATACTCCTTCCGTGCCTGACAGATGCATTTTTGACTGCATTTTGCTAACGAAGAAACTCCCCGAGGTGCACTGGTGACCCAGTTTCCCTAAATATCCACCATCTTTTACCTTTGTTTTATTACTACCCATACAGGTCCCTAGTTAACCAGGCAGGTCGACTGGTCGTTTTTTGTAGCTTAAGTGGATAACAGTACCGAATTAGACCGGGTGAAGTCGTCTTAAACGATCTCCAGTTGTCCCCCAGATCTCCCTTGAGCATAAGGTTTTGACCCATAGACATCAATTCGTTCTTCGTTGTGTTAAAATCTACGTTCTACGTATTAGGTTGGTCTTCTGTTCTCTTCTGGCACTGAAATAAGAGCGAGTAATCCCACAGTAACGTAGTATGGTCACTTTTACCAAGAGGCGCACTAGAATATACTTCGTCAATATTAGCGTAGTCTTTCGTAAGAACTAGGTCCAGACAATTGGCTCTCTGGTTCTCTCGAAATCTTGTTGGTGACTTTACGTGATGTGCCAGAGGGAGGTCGAGTGTGAGGACCATTACTTTATTGCTGGATGAAGTTGGAGCACCGTCAACTAACACCGTTTCCACTCTATTGTAGGTGCATTGAAATCTCCAGCAATAAGAACTTGTTGGTGACTAGCAACTCCTTGACAAGATATAGGAGAGACTGATTAGCTGCATTCGGAATTTTTAGTGGTCTGTAAACCGTCAGGAATTCTGGGTTTTGTGTGTTCCTCTTCTTTATCTTTATCCAGGCAGATTTATGATCAAGGAATTTGGTGTGGGCTCTCTCCACTGCCGAAATGTCTGTCCTTACATAATAATAGTAGTAATAATAATTTTTACTCAAGCTCCGGTGGGTCCTATCATAGCTAGTAAGATTAAACTTTTTCATGAATTTCAAAATAGGTAGACAGAATCCATACAATACTTGATTCATAGTAGTTGAATAAGTGGTATTGTTGTATCCAGCTGGTCAACGCTTAGAATTCTCCACGTCCTCCTCTCAAGTGCTTCCACATTTGGCCCCCTGTTGACATTCCCCTTCCTCTTTTTTGTAACCCTTTTTCGAGCGTGATCGGCGTTCTTGTAATTAACTAACTTTTTATTCTGACCTTGAGCTGAGAATTCGATTTGTTCGAACAATAACAAAGGAATTCTTTGTCTGGGGTATCAATTGTTGAGGTTTTTACGTTTTTCATTATTACCTTTTTCTATCAATAGTACCTTATATAAACCGAAATCTGTTTTGGCTTATACGCGTTACTCGTTTGGCAAGGAATTCGACAGGTATGTTACGAAGAATAATGAGCGAACAGTGAATAAACTCCTTACAAATGAACAAAATGAAAATGACTGGATTAACATTATAGGAGAAAAAACTGTCGCTCATGAAAGTATAAAAAGCGGGCAGGATCGGCCTGCAAGTGGTGGTGTATAACGGATTTCATGAAATGGTAAGTAGGCGGGTTAGACAGGACTGGCCTGCATGCGGTATTGAGTAAAACGTTCGAAACGGACATCATCAAGGTAGAATTAATATGCTGGATGAGGCCGTCCACGTCAAAGTGGTTAGGCAAGATGAACCCATACGTGATAGGTCACAATCCGTTTCGAGTCCAGGGAAGAAGGGGGAAGGGAGAGGCGACCAAACTCCAAGTAGATGACAAATACTGAGGGTCCCGCCAAGGACGTCGATAGAGCGCTTGGGGGCGAAATGAGGAGATGATCACAAGAACAGAAAAAGATAAAAAAATAGCACTTCTGATAGGGGGTCCTAGGGAACGACACTACACACAAAAGAAGGAAATGTGGGCGGATGCGGAAATGTAATGGCGGCGTCCCAAATTTCCGGTGGCCCTTACTCAGCGTCATAGAGAAATTTCTCCGGGAAGTATGAAGAAAATAAAAGTTTAATCGAGTCAGTATTCAGATAGAGGCGCAGCCCTCTCTTAAAAGTATGTAAATTATCTGAAGATTTTATATTTATGGAAGGTTATTCCAGAGGAAAGTATACCTGAAAGCTAAAAAAGGGGGAGCTCTCAGATGTGTAGGAAGTAAGAGGAGGTATAAGCAAGGAAGAATTGCGAAGATTGTATGGGCGACTACTAGGCGTAAGGACAGAAATTCGAGGACGATTTGAACTATTATTAATGCGAAAGAGGAGAGAGAAGCTTGGACCCAGTCTTCGAACCACTAGAAATTTTAGGTTAGTTATCTGAAATTTAGCTGGGTAGGAGATATTTGGATGTTCCATGCCTATGAGCTTTCTAATAAAATGTTTTTGAACATTTTTAATTTTTGAACGACTAGCTTCATTCATCAAATCAAACCATGGGCAGCGATACTCGACAATGGGAAGTACAAACATAAAATAAAGTCTTATTCTGATACAGGGAAAATAGAAATTGTGAGAAATGAAGCCATAAATCTGGGCAGCTTTGGCTGTTGTTCTATCAGCGTGGGACGTGAGACCAAGATTATTTGTGTGGCTTAGAGATAAACACTTGTTGGTGGTACATTCAGTCATAGATGTGCTTTGAAAGACCACTGGTTTGGGTAGCTTATCGAGTCCAAAACACATATAGCGACATTTAGACACAGAGAATTCCATGAACTATTTTGAGCTCCACACTGAAAGAGCACGCAAATCAGTATGGATTTGCTCCAGGCAATGAAGGGTCATAGATTTATTGAATGAACCTACACATTTGAGATCGTCAGCAAAAATAAATGACTTAGAATCTGTAGCAACTAAGCAGCGAGAGTAAGTGTTCTCGGCGGTACAGTTATCAAGTAAAATCCCAGATTGGAAGGAGAAGACAGAAGGCATCAGAATGAGGGGTTTATTGTTCACAGAACCCGGAGTTGTCCTCTCAGACCGTAGTGGCCACTGGCGAAGCCAGGGCTGGTGTTGACTGTGTCCAGTCATGCCTGAGAGTCACTGAGATAATGGTGGCAGCCGCTTTTGCAGGCTTGTAGGCCAAGCTCAAGTGGTGGCCAGTCAGCATGTGTTGAATTTGCCGATGGGTGGTGTCCCAATGGCTTGTCTTGATGTTTGCAGGGGGTGGCGCGTTCAAGTGACGCATGGGTAGCCGCGACGCTGTGTGGATGCAATTGTGTTGGATCTGAGGTCGGTCGAGTGGCTTCAGGTCAGCGCGACTGGAACGGCTTGCTGCGGGGGGTGAATGGCCTTGAGGCAGTGAGGTCGTGAACAGTGACGCCAGACCGGTCATTATGGCTGGACGCCACGAATGTTTAGCTGCAAACGATATATCACTTATGTACAGCGGGACAAAAGAGGATCTAACATGGTACCTTGCAAGACACCACTTACAATAGGGCTCTCATTGGAAAATGAATATGCCTCTAAGACATTTTGTTTACCACTAGACAGGTATGACTTGATGAAGTCTATTAGGGGACTGCAAATTTTCAGAGCTTCTAATTTAACCAAGAGTCTTTTATGTGGCATTTTATCAAAGGCCTTAGATCAAAATAAATAACGACAACAACGATTGAGAAACGACATATGACATGTTTCATAAGAACGATCAAATAAAAGACCATTTTGAGAATGACTATTAACTTGATGGTCTATACAATGGTCGGTAGATTTCATGGCCATGATTTTTTCAAAGATATTGGCGGGAGAAGGTGTTTTATGGACACCTCGATAGTTCTAAACATATGAACTATAGCCAGACTTATATACTGTAATAAAAATATAAGTTGTCCAATAGTTCGGAGAGGAGCCATTTACGAGAAAGATTGAAAAGAGAAGGAGAAGAAGAGAAGGAAAATCTCTTAGCTGTTTTATAAGAGAGATTTGGATACTGCCCGTATCTACTGAGTGAGAGTTAGTAAGATGGTTTATCAGTTTTTGAATAGTTTCAGGAGCAACATTAATGATGCAGAGGGAGGCATCTGACAACGAAGAAATTAAAGGGATTTGGTCAGTTTCAATGGCGAAATGCTTGGCAAAGAATGAATTTAACATTTCTGGCTTGCCTGACTCCTCTGTATTGGAGGCATCGTTGGTACTAAGCAAAGGCGGAATGAATTGGTGGGACTTAGCAGATGATCTTTGATGGAAGATCTGAGCAACTGATTTAGAGGCATTCACGCCATTAACAGCTAAGGACTCTCTAAGCCTACCTCAAGCTAGCCTCATTTTCGAAGTTAATTCAAATACTTCAACGATTCTTAGGTGAACTGATAATGAGCGCACTGAGGGATATTTAAGCTGCCTCCGTAGCTTTTTAAGTCTGTTTTTATGGAACTGCGTTCATTGCTCTTCGAAACGAGATTTTGAGTATTTGTGTACAAAAATCACAATTTGGACTGAGGGACTCCGACAAACAGGCGTCTGAATAAGACAAAAGCGAAAAAGCATGCAATATTTGCCGACGTCATAAATTTCGAGGTCTCCCATTCAGCTGAGTACGGTCATTGTTCTGAACAGTTTGCCTTGTCGTATAACTATGCACTGGTCGTACGCAGCTGAATGAGAGGTCTCGAAATTTATGACGTCAGTAAATACTGCATTATTTGTCGCCTTTGCCTTATTTAAATTGATTCCGGGAAAACACTGCTTCAATATACAGGCGTCTGTTCATTTCATGAGATCGAACGCAAAAGCCGGCCGAAGCTGACTGAGATGAAATGCTATTCATCACACCTAAGCTGTTACGGTTATGAGCGTCCTCCAGCGGAATGGCCACCGGCGTGCAAAATTTCCCCGTTCATTATTCTGAGACTTTTCTCGGTCGGATGTGGTTTAGTAGCACCACCTGGGAAAATTAAACCCCACTGACCTGCATTACGGAGCCGGTAGTGAAAGGGGGTTTTACGGGTGGGGTCTTTAAACGGACGGGGAGCGTGGGGAAGTAAATAGGAAAATAAGGCAGCCAATGGTAAGCATAAAGACGAACTTTAAGTCAATGCAAAAGAATTCCGGATTGTAGAAAAACGGGTAAGAAAAATTCAACAATTTGCGATTTATCCATGAGTAACTAAGGATAGGCCAAAATAAGGCCCCGAACGTAATGGTCAATCAAAACGTGACGCAGATTATCAAGGCCAGTCTGCAAAGTGCGCGTTAAGACGATATCCGAAGCGATGGTGTCTACCTCTGAAGGATGCGATTCGGGCACTACGCAAGACGAAATTCCGTGGAAACGGTAAGTCAGGAGTACTTAGTTAAGAGCTACCATTCTGTGCATACGTATGTAACGGAACAAAATAAAATATAAAGTTGTAGAATGTGTAAGTCAGCGAAGGATGCAGGTGACGGAGTTTGAAGTAGAGGCTGTGCCGGCAGGTAGAACCGTTTACGTTTGTCTTATAGAGTAATCGACCTTTATTTTTGTTTGTGTTATATACCTTAATCTGGTAAGGCACCTCGTAAAGCACAACCGCATACGGCCAAACCCACGAAGTACACAGCATCTCGTGTGAAATCGGCATGGGTAGTATGCGATTACGCAGAGAGAGCCGAACCCAACGCGTGAACGAAGCTTACCAGCGGCCGAGGGTGCACCGGGCAGACCAAGGAACTGTCGAACGTTAGTGCCGTATTGATGAGAGACGTGTTAACGAATGCGAAGTACAAGTAACGCAACCTTTGGAAAGGGAACAATGGTATACAGGTATCAGGAAGAATGGAGTCATATAATGGCCGCAGAAAAAATTGTGGAATTAGGGAGGTGGGGACGCCGACGCGCCGACAGCATATGAGGGAGTTTCAAAGGGAAAACTTGCAGTTAAAATTGATTATGGACGGCGGTAAGGTATGAGAAACACTGTGCGCAGCGTTAATGCACGCCAAAGGTAAAGTGCTCAGTCGAATACGGCAAAATGTAAGTGATAACCCGTGAGACCGGGTGCACCGCTAAGCCTTGCCGGCGGAACAGGACACATTGACACCGCGCCACCCACGCACTCCACCATCCTCCCAACCCACAGCCGTCTGAACTAGCGTGACCGGAAAGGCAGTGCATGGGTGAGGGAACTCAAGGCCATGCCGGCAGTCAAAGTACGCCTACTACTTGGTCTGCGGCCCATATAACGGATTCGGTAAACCATCGCACTGTAAACCAACAGAGCAAACGGCGATAAGTAGGTCGCCAGTCAAAGAAGGTTAGGTAGCTAGTAACCCTAGGAGGGCGAACAACACATTCTCAGCTAAAGAGTAGCTATTCTGAGTAACCCTACGGTTCATGGTTGTCCCAACTGATGAAAAGAGAGGGAAACTGGAGAAGATGCGGAAAAAGTGCTAGCCTAAAGCCAGTAAAGTGTTTCGTAATGACAGCGAAAGCGGACTATAACGTATGTGGAGCTGCAGACGGAAGTCAGTCACTGGGCTGAAACTCTCAGAGATGGACGAGATACAAGGAACAACGATCGAAACCTCTCGTCGCCCGTGGAACACGGACACCTAAAAGGAATTGAACGTACGGATCGGGTGAGGTCTTGACAGACTAAAAAGGTAGCGAGGCCCACCGGAAAGAAAATAGGGATGCGAAACAATCTGATCTTCAAATCAGTCAGTCAGTCAGTGTATTTGAGGGAAATAGGCTTACGCCTTTGAACTCCCTATTTGTACATAAAAAATCGATAAACAAGCAAAAATGTGAAGAAATCACAGCATTAAGTGAATGCATACATTGATTCACATATGTCACTAGTCACATGGTTAAAAAGTCACATAGTCCGATTGTTGCTGCAGCATATATCTGTCAAGGCGAAATTTAAATGTCTCCACAGATTGAGACATAACAACCGTCTCGGGCAGGTTATTCCACGGTTCCACGACACGGTTGGAGAAGAAATATTTTCTCACATTCAGTCTACCCTGTGGTACACGTAGCTAGAAGGGATGTTCCTGGAGGTGAGTTGTAGTGACGAGTTGGAAAAAGTCATCGCACCGAAGGGCACAATCCAAGCCGCGCACGATACGGAAAGTTTGTATCATATCTCTGCACAACTGCCTATAACTCAGAGGATAGAGATTAAGGTTAGTTAAGCAGATCTCGTATGGCAGTGCACTTTGACCTCTTATTAATTTTGTTGCTCGTCTCTGCACCCTTTCGAGCAGATCGTAATCCTGGTGCGTCCACGGTCTCCAGGCCTGAATTGCATATTCGAGATGGGGCCTTATAAACGTGCCGAAGACTTTGGTGAAGCAGTCATCATCGAAAACTACGAATGCCCGCTTGATGGCATATAGCATTAAGGTTGCGGCCTTGGCCGTCTTACAGCATTGTGTAGAAGGCTTTAGGCTGTCTGCAACCCAAACTCCGAGATCTTTCTGAGTTTCTGCTTCTCGGAGTGGCATTCCGTTCAGATGGTATTGCCGCGTACTAGGGCTCTGATTTCCGAGGCGCAGAATGGTGCATTTGTTCAAATTGAAGGACATGAGCCATCTGCGGGACCACTCGTCCAACCGACAAAGATTTTCTTGGAAGTTGGTCTCATCGGCAGCATTCTGAATAACTTGCCAGATTTTTATGTCATCCGCAAACATGGCACAATCACAGTCCAACCCATCTACGCAATCATTAATGAACAAGAGAAAGAGAGTTGGTCCGAGCACCGAGCCTTGTGGGACCCCACTCTCTATGAATGTGCACCTTGATTGCTGTTGTTCTACGCAGACAATTTGGGAGCGGCCGACAGGGAAATTTTCGATCCATTTGAGAAGTTTGCAATCGATGCCCATAATTCTCAACTTGTGTAGGAGACGCTGGTGCGGAACACTGTCAAACGCCTTCCGAAAATCAATATAGGCAACATGCACGGTGTGTTTTGCGTCCAGTGCTCGTGTCCAACTTTGCATTGTGTATAGCAAGTTCGTAACACATGATCTTCCCCTACGGAAACCATATTGTGTATTGGACAAGAGGTTGTGGGTTTCCAAGTAAGTCATCAACTCCTTTTTGATGATTTTCTCCATCACTTTGCAGCAGATTGATGTCAGACTGACGGGTCTGTAGTTTGTCGCCTGATCACGACTACCGCTTTTGTAAAGGGGTGTAATGTGGGCCGTCTTCCAGTCTGCGGGAAGAATTCCAACATCAAACGATTTTTGGCACAGAAAGGATAGTGGTTTGGCCAGCTGTTGGGCAAGCTCAAAGAGCAGCTTTGCTGGGATCTCGTCCGGACCGGGAGATTTACATTCCTTCAAGCTTTTCAGTTCTTCCAAAATTGCTTCTTCTCGAAACACAATATTTTCGATAGTGGGATCTCTCATGTTCTCAGAATTAGATGGGGTAAATTCTGCTTCTCTTGCGAAAACGGATCGGAAAAATTGAGAAAAGTGCTCAGCCTTATTTGTACTCTCCGATATCTCCAAGCCGTCATCACCCCTCATAACAGGAATGGGATTCCTGTTACGTGAGCTTTTCCGCAAATAGCTGTAGAGCAATTTCGGATTTTTAACGGCTCGGTGGAGCAAATTACTCTCAAAATCGCGTCGCCTCCTCAAAATCAGACTTTTCACCTTATTTCTTTGAATTTTGTATTCTGTAAACGCTGCATTATAGTTGTTCTCGCGAAATTTTTTCCATAACCTACCTTTTTTGTTGATCTCCCTTTTGAGTTCTCCTGTTAGCCACTGAGGGCGTTTGGATGTCCTAGGCTTTGATAAGGGACAGTGGTTCTTCATTAGATGCAGTAAACGATCCTTGAAAAAATTCCAATCCTCGTTAACGTTTCCGGAGAAGAGAACATCCCAGTCTATTTGTGATGCCTCAGCTCTCATTTGGCGAAAGTCCCCTTTCCATATATTTGGCCTCGTATTGTCTTTTGTACACGGTTCAGAATACAGCAAGTACTCGCATAAAAGCACTGCATGATCACTTCGACCGAGCGGGGGTAGGTAGTACATCTCGTCTTTACTGTCAGGATCTTTGGTAAAAACGAGGTCCAGACAACTAGCCTGTTGCCCTCCACGAGCTCTAGTTGGAAACAGGACATGTTGCGTGAGTAGAGCTTCTAGAGTTGTCTTTAGTAGATGGTAATCGGAAGGTATTCATCGAGCATTTCGCATGCATATCGCTCCATTGAATGCATGGTGCATTAAAATCCCCCATGATAACAACGTCTGGTCGGCTGGCGATCTCTTTTATGCTTTTCAGAAGACAAGTATCTGGGTCGGGATCCGCCTGCGGGGGCCGGTAGATAGTTAAGACTTCGAGGGACTGAGATCCCCGCGCCTTTATAGTCAGCCAAATTGCCTCTGTGTCGTTAGAAATCTTGTCGGTCCTCTCACACACTGCTAAGTTGCTCTTGACATACATGGCAACTCCTCCACCCCGGCGGCCTCTCCTGTCTCTCCTAAACAAATGGTATCCTGTTAATGCTACCTCGCAATCACCAACGTCCTCTGACAGCCACGTTTCTGTTATTGCTATAACATCGGGAAGAGTATCGTCTACCTGTATTCTCAGTTCGTCAAGCTTGGAAAACAGACTCTGAGCATTGGTGTAAAAGAATTTTAGTTTGCAACATTCGACAGTGCTTCGTTCGGTTTGTCTCGGGTTTGTCAATATTATGTTGCTGCCGCCATCATGATGACTGGCTGGTTCCAAAACAACATCGCGTTCCTCTGTATTACTCGTCCCCTGAAAATGGCCAAGTTGCTCTCTCCTGCTGCAAGTCTCCTCTTCAACTCCGTTACCAATTCGCGGCGTTTCAGACGTTCCGCTGGAGAATAGTCCGGCTGAAAAAAAACTTCCTTGTGAGAGTTTCGGAGGCTGCTTTTCCTGGACAGAAGTAAGCTAGCTTCCTCTTTACTGTTCAAAACAATTTTCAGAGGTCGTGGCCGCAAAGTTTCTGATTGTTCGCTCACCTTCTTTCCGATCCTGAAGGCTGCCCGTATGGTTATCTTTTCACTCGACTTAAGCATTTTGTTCAGTAGGTGTTGAAGCATATTAAGGTCAGCGGAGATCCTCACCTTCGTGGTAGGAGCATCCGACTCCGATAGGCCCTGGACGACTACGCAGTGCTGACGATCAAGGGGTTCATTTGTTCTGTTTCCGGCGGCCTTGTCAGCTGAAGGTCTCAGAAGATCCACCGGAGTAGTCTGGGGTTCTATACTCCCGTTGTGGCGCTTACGCTTTCCATCTTGCCATGAGCTTGTTTCCTCACTTCCAACTGAGGGTCCTATGGTATACGCGGAATGGCTGAAAGAAGTTGATGGTTCGCTTTGGTTGTCTTCCATAGAAACATGAGACTCCGTTGTTATTTTCCCATCGTCCGGGGTATCGGCGCCCTTGCACATAGGTTTTCCACAAGCTTTGTTCTTTGGCTGTTTCAGAGTTTTGCTCTTTCCCTTTTTCTTGCTAACTTTAGCGCTATTCACCGCGTTTTGCACACTATCGTTCACTTGCACGAGTTCCCTTAAAGCCGTCAGCTCTTTTTCGAGTTTCTGGACTTTCAGCAGAATAAAGGAGCATCCAGTGCACGGCTCGTCCTCGTAACTAACAGGTTTTGCTGTGATAACGCTTTAAGCGCGCTTTGCGGGCCCCTGGTTGCAACTATAAAGAGAGCGAGCGCTATTCCTAATGAACATGAAGAAAACACCCGAAGGCCAAAAAAATTCGTAGGTATTGCGTTATCGTAACCCTAAGCTCTGAACCCTAACCCTCAAGCGTAGCCGCAACCGGAAGAGCGGTTGCCGTAAATCATAACCCTGAGTGCACACCTGAACTCTAACCCTAACACGTAAAGGTAACACTAAAACCTTAACTCAAAAACCAACCCTAACCCTATCCGGAAACAGTAATTCTGAACCCGAACATTAAACCCTAAACGGTAAGCCTAACCTAAACTCCAGGACCTAGCAATAAATTCCAAACCCTAACACTAAACCCTAAATCCCAACCCTCACCCTGACATAATTCTAGATCCCTCCCCTAAACTTAAGTTTAATTCTTAACACTAGCCCTGAACCCTGACCATAACCGTGGATCCCAATCCTGAACATTAACCCTCAATCACAACAACAAACACTTAACCTTAAAATTAAACTTTACCCAAACGCTAACTGTGGACGTTAAATTCGACCGCAACACTAAATACTAACACTAACCCTTAACCCTAAAACCTGAACCTAGCCCAATATCCTAGCCCTAAACCTAAACAATAAACGATAAAACTGAACCGTAACCCAAAACCCTAATCATAAAACCGAACCCTAACATTAAATGCTAACCTCAACCCTAAATACTAAAACTTATCGTAGCCCTGACCGTAAATGCAAAACCTAACCCTTATTCTGGTCCTAAACCCTAGCCCTAACCCTAACTCATGACTCTAAACCAAACCGTAAACCTAACCACAAATCCTAACCTTAACCCAACCCTAAGCATTAATCCAAATTCCTAACCTTAAAATCTAACCCTTACCCTAAATGCTAACCCTAAACCTAAATTCTAACCTTCCCCTATACCTAATCGTAAAGCCCAATCCTAATCCTAACCCTAAGGCCTAACCCCTAACCCTTAATCCTAACCGTAACTCCAGACGCTAGACCTTAAACCCCAATCCAGCAGCTCAACCGTAAACCGTAGTCGTAGACCCCAAAGACAAATTTGCGTCTACTCAGAAGCACAAGGGTAGGTTGGACGGTCGTACTGCTTTTTCCAGCTGGGGCTACCAAACCACGTCTTGCCCTTCTCTCGCCCTGGCTCGCTTTCCTGAGGACTTCCAATTTGAGTTCCCTTCATTTCTCTCGCCGCGGGTGAAAAGTGCCGCTGAAAAAACTGACGAGTGGGTATTTTGGGATCACATGTCCTGCTCAACAGTAGTTGTACCTTTTTCTCGTTCTAGAGGACACCTTTTAGCGGTCTCAGTCGGTCTGAATCATGTTTTGAGTCTTTTATTCGGCCTACATTGAAAGCCCTCAACATTGTGACTTCTTCGTCTTCTGTCAAGGGCGATTTGAGATATTGCCGGGATGTTTTTATGTCATGATGTATTTTGCCCTTTACAGTGTCGAAAACAGCCTGAGGCAAGCCGTTTATGACAATGCATTTATTGAGATCAACTTGAGGGCCTTGTGATTCAACCATACTTGCAAAGACTTTATCGCGGATATTCCGGCTGCCGCCATCCTTTGACAGAGAAGAGTTTGATCCGCAGAGTTAACGTATGACTCCCCGCTTACTACGGTCTCTTATTAATTGGCCGTTTTGGCCGCACGATTTTTGTTTGTTGTGTACCCAACTTTTGCTCCTTTATTTGGCTCCCTGTGTCTTTTTGAGGTGCTCTGAGACATATTTTATTCGCTATAATCCCGTCAGGTTACCCTTCTTCGTACCGGAGACCAGCTTTTGTTCATAATGAGCTCTAGAGACCCAATATATTCTTTCTCCTCGGTCAACACGTCTAATGAAACCATGTTTGCGTACGTTCGTTTTTTCCTGAATTTCAAATGTCACCGATATTTTCTCTTTGCGTGAATAGCGAGGGTGATTTATCAACTTCTCCATCCACATTTTAAGTCATTAATCTCCATCTTCATTCCTGTAAACTTTTGAAGGAGTCCAAAGCCTGTCATCCAGGCTTCGTCTTCGTATTTGATATCCACCCAGCACGTTAAACTTCTCGTTCGTTTGGCGGGAGTTGACCTGACAGCGAGATGTACAGAGTTGCAATCATTTGTACTACGACTGATGTTTGCTCCTTTACTAATTGTAGCCCGGGTATCGAGCGTCGACAGTCCAGTAGTAAACTCGTTGGTCACGTGGCGGCGGTGCATGGGTACAAATCCCATTTGGAATAAGATTTCACGCATTGTCCTGAAGACGTTTTGTCGGCTCCCATTATTAATTCAAAGGATGAGCGGCATATTCAAAGAAGGGGCCGAAGTATTTTAACCAGGTCAATCTTATGAAATAAATAGCAGAACGACTCAGTCGTTGGTAGAGTTGGAGAAGTCCGTCGAGCTATTAACAGTGAAGCAGTCAGAAAGGAGTTTGTTCTTCCGACTGGAGTCCTGTTGTTAATTGATGAGGGCAAGGATACTGCTCGCTTAAACCCGACTGTTACTAGTGGCAGATTGTAAGAGCGACCAGAACACTGCAAGTCCAGATAAAGTCAATCCTTATGAGATCAAAAATTTGGAAATGAATTTCGAAACGCACGGTCACTACAACTAAATAGAAGATATTTTTTAAAGTTATTTTGCTAAGAAACAGAGACTTTTAACCTTATTTTTCGAATAAAGATCTGTAAATACTGGCCTTTTCTTTAAAACTATCTGCGGCCGTTTTCCTGCTGAGATTTCCAAAATTGCGCCTGCTGAATGCTAGTTGCCCGTTTCAATTCGAATTTGTACATTCGAACAACAAGTGTGAATATCTTCTTTACAGCTCTAAACTCTCCGTGAATTTTTGCCATTAGATTAGTCAGACGTTTACACAATTGCAACTCGCCTCGAGACAAGGTGAGGGCAAAGGTCACAGGTCCGCGAAAGCCCTCGGCCTCTGTACCTAAGCATGGCTTAACTAAATCTAAATCAGAAGACATTACTAATAAGTCGTCATCCTTTGTAACCGAGAGTCAGCTTGATCTGCCTACGCTTTACAATTACAATGATTTTATGACTAAGTTTAGCACTATGCTTTCAATCCTGGGAAGATTGTTAAACTTGAGTACCTTCGATGTCCCTCTCAAGAATGCAAACGCCATGGCTCGATCGTCTACCTAATTGTTAGTGAATCAAGTGATAGACTAAAAAGACCTTATATCTTCGTGTTAAAAATGTCCCTCGGTTCGCACGGTCAGTTAATGTTGCAGCCATTTTTCTGACTTCGTGTGGATTTAACTTTAAAGAAGTGGACTTCGAACGCCTGTCCTCCAGTAGCAAAAATCCGCCCGTTTTAATTAAGCTGTTTTCACCAATTTAGGTTGATTCAATCTTTGCCCACCGAGATCGTGTTTTGCTTGTCTGGAAAATGTAAAAATTTGCCTTTTTCATGGTCTTTCATCCACTGAGCGTAGAATTAGGTCCCTATTCTCACATAAACCCACATTTTTTCAGTTAAATGCTTAAAAACTCGGTCATATTACAGGTAACCGCAAGAATTCAGCTAATCATGCTCCTGTGAAATCTCACTCGCTACTCCCCCCTTAATCCTGCACCTCCCTCATACTCAAGCCACTTGACGCTTTCTCCAACTTAGCAGCAGTCCTAGTCTTCCTCCCTAATCCTCCGGACAGCTCCCTCTAGGAAGCACGAAAATCCGTCGACATCAGCTAGACCGACAACTTACCCATTTTAACAGGGTCCTACGAGTTCTACAGTTAAGTCATATGAGGTATAGCCTCAGAACGGTGAGATTCGAAAACGGAATCGGACTCCGGCCCAAAAGAAAGGCAACACAATTCCATTTAGGGATATGCCGTCTTCTCTTAAATCTACTGAGCCTTCACAGCCGAGCTCGTCTACAAACATCACAACTCCAATCGTACCCCCAAATAATTCTCTCTCCTGCGTACCGGTTACTTACCAAAGCCCTACTATACATCCATAATATTCGAGGATAGTGAAATAACAGAGGCCCAATCTGTAAAAGATTTAGGTCTCAGCTATACAAATACCCTTGATTTTTCTCGCCACGTCCAACAAATATCACCGAAGGCACTCACCTGTGTGGATTCATATGTAAAAATTTCACCTTAAATGCACTAAGAATACAACTCTTCAAAATGTATGTTTTACCCCTCCTAGATTACTATTCAATTTTCTTCGGCATAATGCCCTCAGACGGCCGAAAGGAACTAGAAGGCATTCAGAGACGGTTTACTAGATCTTTGTCCAGAAGTGATGGCATCCAGGGTTCATACTTAGAACTATATCATAAATACGGTCTTCGACCACTGTGGATCAGAAGACTTCAAAATGGTCTAAACTTCCTATTCAAGGTCACCCACGACCAAGATATTCTTAAAATGAATTTACTTACCAACCAAAACGCCCCTAGAAACACCAGAAATAGCGAGGATATTATAAGGATTCCCAAATTCACAAAGTCCCAACGGTCAAATTTCTACTCAATAAGATATGCGACTATCTGGAATCCTCTTCTAGGTTATATCCAGAAAAGTCGAACCCTAATCGAGTTCAAAATAAAAACTAAGAACTTCCTTTCAAATAACAATACACATTTATTTTTGAATAAGATAGGACATTTTTCAAGTCAATTCTTTGATATAGAATTTGGTCCAAAAGGGCTCTGATGATGCCAGCCGATTGAAAAATACCAGAACATAGCACTATAAATAATCAAATTTATAAAAGATAGCATTATTGATAAACGAAGAACAGATAATGATATTCTTTTTTTTCCTCCCTCTCTCGTTTTCATCAGCTATGTCACCTGACGCTAAATATCCCTTATAAAGCTAATAAAAATATACCCTTCGATAAAACCCTGCATATTAGTCGTGCGTATGTCTATATCAAGGGATATTTAACCTATATAGAACTATATTAGCTCATAGTAAACAGTCGACCACTACTACTATAATTTCACATTAACAAGAACAATATGATACATGATTCAATAGTATTTTGACAGTTTTGATTGTGACTTACCATTGAATGCTTCTTACTCCTGATATATATTCATTTTTCCAGCTCTTAGTCCAGACAACGATGGTAAGCCTCCTGAAAAACACGTAGGAATTGTGCGACCGCCCCCTTACAGCTGGCCAGATAGACTGACAACCAGCAACTAGAGCACACCGAAATTTACCCAACAGGAAAATAATTTCAAGGTCAGGCCGATATAAAAGTTCTTCAATGGTCATGATGGACATATTATTCACGCCCCCGAAAACTACCAAACTGCAAACTTCAATTTTTATATTGTACATATCGTTATTTTTTTAAAATTTTGTTATCATTTTCCCTTAGAACTGAGGTTTTTTTAACTTAAAACAAACTCTCAATTCGCGTTCTTTTGGCTAACCAGACACCCGAAGCAAATGAAGTCAAAGTGCAGTTGAAATTGACGAGTTTGTTTTAGGTTTTTTTCCTGAGTTCAAAGGGGACTGACAGTGCCCAAGGGGCGCTGCAATAAACCTATTCTATTCTATCCATTTAAAAATGCATACGTGAAGTGCCCTAAGTCGTTTATCCCCCAACCCAGTTCTGGCTTCCCACCACTTAAGGCCAACTGCTCTCATGTAAGCCGACTTAACTCCTATGACCTCCATCCTAGACCTGATCCCACCTTTTAATTCTTACAGCTGCCCACCCTCCCCTGCTAGTCTCTTAATTCCGTCTAGGCTCCCTCCTCCCCCGCAAGTTAGCCACGCACCATTCTATCCCTGTTACAACTCGGTTGGTATTCCGGTATTTAAAAACTATATCCCTACATCTTTTAGGTCTCACTCACAGCCGCTTCTAGCTAAATAACCTTATGTCAATAATTCTGGACTCATTGGTAGTTATTCCCCAAATAACAATAGTTTACAACTTGCATATACACCTCCACATTTTCTTCCTCAATACCGCCTTGCTGTTCGAAATATCCTAGATATTACATTATTGAATGCCAGATCTGTTATAGACAAGATGGCCCAAATCAGAGCCACTGCTCTAGAAATGACGCCTGATGCTATATTTATAACAGGATCCTGGACCCATTTTCTAATTCTTGACTCTTCCTTTTCATAAATGACTTTGGTCTCTACGGTCAAGTCCTTACAATTAGGCGTGGAAGCGTCTGCCCTATTTACCTCAGATCCTACCTAAAGCTCTCTTTCTATTACCTAGATGCCTCCTCAATCATGGGAAACTTCCGCTTTTCATCTATTATTCTCTCGCCGCAAAGGCATGCAATGATTGGCTGTATCTATAAGCCCCCAAATTCTTCAGCCATTGATGATTCACAACTCTGTGAAATCTTCAAATTAATTTCAGAAGTTGCTCTATATGTTAAAATAGTCACTGCGGATTTTAGTCTTCCCGAAATAGACTGGGTTATGAATATCTGTCCACCTATACTCCAGCCTTCCAAGATATCGTTAATTCTTCTCACTGGTCTTAACTGCTGCGCTCTCTAACAACAGATAATCATATTTTAGATCTAAATTTCACCAATGACACTGCTCCCCTTTTTACCTTCAAAAAGGATCCTTTCGATGGTAGTCACGTATTAATTCATTGTTGCATACCGCTTGTCTTTTTAACGAAGGCCACCAGAGTTCGGGCCTACATAAATTACGATTTCGTAGATAACAACTTAATAAATAACTATAGTAGATCACTGAATTGGTGTGGCTTTCTCCCCTATATCGATGCAACCATTCTTCGTGACGTCATGTGCAATGTTTCCAAGGACATCCTAGAGTTTGTGCCGCGTAAATATCCCAAGTCTAATTCTGCGGATTTCCTGGTCTTTCACTTTTTTCGCAACAGACTAAAAATGTTCAGACGTCAGCTGCATGACTTTTCTAATAGGTCTTTATACTTCCATCTAAGAATCACGTATATGTTCGAAATTGCCTCAAGGATGCGCCAAGCGCGTGACAGGCAAAGAGAACCACTTGCTCTCAGTACCCCAAGTCTAGAATCTTCGTCACCGGTTCTCCTCTAAGCGTGGCCACGATATTCCACCTTTGCCAAATGATAGCAAAATCTTCCGCATCGATGACATTGACAAGGCGGAGTTGTTTAGTGCTTTCTTTGCAAAACGCCTTACCTCTGAGTCCGACCTAGTATTTTTCTTCCATTCACTTTAGATAGGACACTGAGTACAATCAATGTCTCCTCAGATCTATTTAAGAAGCACATAAGTCGTTTGAAAACTCACGCTGCCCGGGAACGGACGCGATTCCAAATTCGATTATCAAACAGACACCCGATTATCCCATATCGCTTAGGCATTTATTCCCTGTTCACATTTAGGACGGATTTTCCCGGAAACATGAAAGACGTCAATTGCCATTCCCGTCTTTAAGCCGAGATCTCGGTTTGATGTTAATGACTACCAGGCTGTGCATTGGATTCCGTCTCCAGCAAAACTTCTTGAAAGGATAATTTTCAATAAAATTCTTGACTTCTGTCTAACTAGTCGGCTTCTGAGATCTAATCATCATGGATTTTTTACTAAAGGGTCCTGCATAACTTACCACTTGGCATTTCTTAATCTCATCACTTCTCTTCGTAATAGAATAGAATAGAATAGGATAGGTTTATTGTAGCGCCCCTTGGGCACTGTCAGTCCCCTTTGAACTCAGGAAAAAAACCCAAAACAAACTCATCAATTTCAACTGCACTTTGACTTCATTTGTTTCGGTGTCTGTTTAGCCAAAAGAGCGCGAAGTGAGAGTTTGCTTTAAGTTAAAAAAAACCTCAAATGAATCGAGTACAGTTTTAAAAGCGAATCTTTTTGTTGTTCGTGTACAGTTATTTCTAACTAGCTGACATGTAATCGGTAGGGTTTTCAAAGGCTTTGCCTTTTATCCTTGCCAAATAAACTGAAAGCTCACGCGTGCGGCCCAAACGGTGGCTGGTCGAAAATTGAGACCTTTTGCGCGGGGGGATTCTCGCGCACGCGGTGGCCAATCCGCGACCAGCACGCCATGGGCAGGAACGATCTAGAACGCCCTCAACGGCTGGCACGTTATTGGCCGAAATGTTTCAGGAGGCACAGTGGCCAATATAACCAAAGCGTCTGTCTGTCAAGCTGTAACCGCTCGTGTTCGCAGGCTGTCAATAAAGAGCTTGTTCTCCAAGCCGGCCTTCTTTTACTGTCCTCCCCTTCCTTTCGGGCCACAACAGGCATCTCGCTGAGCAAAATCGCCGGAAATATCTTCGTTCGCATTCTCCTCAACAGTCTCTACGGTCATGCAGAACAGAGACATCTACTGGAATACCACTGTGACTTCCGACGACGCGGAGGAACGGCGGACATCATCTTCATCGTCGTCGGCCAGCTGCATGAGAAATGCCAAAATATGTGGATTTACCCCAATACTACCTTCGTGGACCTAACGACAGCCTTCGGCACGGTAAATCCAGATAGACTCTGGAAAACTCCGCAGGAAGTCGGATGTCCTGAGCGATTCACGCACATGATGTGTCAGCTCAAAGACGGGATGATGGCGCGCGTCACTGGCAATGGGAGCGTCCCATAGGCATTCACAGTTTCCAGCGCAATGAAGCAGGGCTGCGTACTTGCCCTCCCGCACCTCAACCTCATGTTTCCTGTCATACTGACAGACGCCTACTGTTATGGGCGTCCCGTGATACGCATCGCCTAGAGGACCGACGGTATCCTCTCAATAGTCGGCGCATACGGGCTACGACGCGTTTCTCCAGGCTAGGGTCTACGATCCTCTCTTCGCGGACGATTGCGCGCTCAACTTCGCGACAGAAGCAGACATGCAACGGTACATGGACCTCTTCGCCTTAAACTGCGTCCAATTCGGTCTGGTCAAAGGCTGTCCAGCGCTGCATAAAAAGCTCCTCGCGCTCACGTCAACGGCACCCAACTGGAAACCGTGAACACATTCGCCTACTTAGCTAACACATTCGCGTTGCATTAAAGCCAGAAACAATGTGGCTCAGCGATTCTCGAAAGCTAATCCTGTCTTTGACCGGTTGCAGAACGCAATATGGAATCTTGACGGCCTTCACCTCAACTCTTAACTTAATATGCACAAAGCTGTCATCTTGGTGCAAAGACCTGGACAGTCTCCGAGAAACAAGTACGAAGACTCAGTTAATTGCACGTCAGTCGTCACCGGAGGAAGTGGTAGAACAGGATCTCGGACGCAGAATTTTTGGAACGGACCGGACTCATCGGCATCCACGTCGTTCTGAGGCAACTGCAACTAAGATGAAGCGACCACCACGTGAGAATGGACGATGAGCGACTACCAAAACACGACGCTGCAAGTAAACCTTAATTTTTAAAAGGCTTGCAGGTGAACCTGAAAAACAGGAAGACCTTGCATAAGACCGCACGGCCTGCAGAAGAGCATCAAAGGCTGGAGTAGCAGCCTACGAAGCCAACCGGATCGCTGCTTCCAAAGTGAGAAGGGCGGTTTGCAAGCCTCAAGCGCCCTCGATCCGCAACGCCAACTGTCAACACCTTCCAACATGTTAACGTTACCAACGAACATTTTAAGCGCGGATTTGTCTCTCAGACGACCCATTAACCCCACAATCATCGCCATTGTCCTCCCTGCATCAAATCACACGGTGTCTACGATGACGACCACCCTTACAACCGATGATCACATTCCCGGTGACGCGTCGCCATTGATCGCCATCATCTCCATAATCGCTGTCATAACCCCTGCGATGGCGACGGCTGCCAGTTTCCCCACTATCTCAACCAGAGAAAACGCTCCCGACGCCTCGTCAATCACTACCCTCACTATCGCGCCCCCAACACCAATGATGCTGACTCCATCCAACCTGTACTCGTTGAGTTTGCGCACTGACCCTACACATCGGCCTGGCAGGTCACCTGTGAATCCGTCGTACAGTGATCGGTACATCAGCGCCAGGAGCCCTTACATCCACCCGCCACATCCGCGTCCACTGTCCGCACTGTCCACGCACATTCATACACTGAATGGGCCTACTCAGTCATACTCATATCCACGACAGTGGAATTCACCGCAATGTCGACTCACAAATCATACCTTACTTAACAACACAGCCCAGGTCCTCAGCTTTCATAGCAATACCGCCCGGTAATGCACAAACGGGACTGTGTGAGGACGCTTTTCGACCGGGTAAAAACGCACTTTAGCGAGCCCGAAGGAAGGATGCAAGCGCTACGGCATTCCAGGGACCAATTGGCAAAGAACGGCTATCCGACTAGTTTCATCAGCAGCTGCCTACGTATGCACCCATGACGGACAAAGAAAAGAGAGACGCCAACAGGTTGACACTCCCTACCGTACATGAAGAATGTGTCCGAGGCCACAGAACGCATTGCGGTAGAGTTAGGCGTGGGCATCTCCCACCATCCGCGACTATCCTACGTAGCATAATCAGGAAGATGAAGGACCGGCTGGACGCAGTTAGACGATAGGGCGTAGTCTATTAAATTCCGTGCTATAAATGTTCATGCCATTGCACAGGCCAAACAGGACGACGTCTCAGCCAACGAAAATTCGAGCACAAACGGGTTATTCGGAGAGGCGACCCACTATCGTTGGGGGAAGGCCATGAGTTCGACTTCGCTAACACGCGGGTATTAGCGCGGACAGACAACAAGACGGGGTGGGAACTGTTGGAGGCGTGGGTTTCGGACACTAACTGCATCGATAGACACATTGACTTGCCTGCGTGTCATCACGCACTGCGCCCACGCAGCCAGGTTGCGCAGCTCGCATTGCCGTGAAGGAGGAACGCCGTAACCATGCCGGAAGACCATTGCGGGTCAGGCAGCGCCAACCAGACCTAGCCACGGACGCAACATCACACCCCCTCACGGTACAACGGTATGGACGTTCACACGTTGTTGCACTCTAACAGTCTCTGAGCGTGAACTCCTGTTCGAGTTCGGAAGCTAAAATCCATAAGGCTATCGCTCCAGTGATCGTACCTTTGTCTTCTTTTAAGAAGTGTGTTTTTCGACTTCTCCTTCATGTAGCCTTCCCGCTGTGCGTGAGATCCAAGTAGTCTACTCTTGAGTGCAACCTCGAATTGCGCGTATGGAGGGCCAGACCGTGTGTCTGGTACGCCCAGACGAGCTGTTCTCAGCTCTGTTAGCCAGGTGTCCAAATCTCAGCACTAGCTGGTTGACTGTTTTGAGGAGTCGGCCGGTGCACGGGAAAGGATAAAACGAGTCTCTTGACGCACGATTCCTCACTATCAACAATCTTACGCGATTGAGACAAAAAACACACAAAACACGTCAGCGCACTGCGTGTTTTTGTGTGTGGACAACTGGTGGACTGATAGTCAGACTGCGATGGCTCCTTCGTAATGGAATTCTCACATATGTGAGATCCGAGCTGTTGTAGCCCTATGCACGGACAGATCGTGTACGTGGCGCACGCGCGCAGACAGGCCCTCCTTCTCTGTCAGCTACCCCACCCACTCCCGCGTCAGACAGCTGACCGGGTCGGACGCGGACTGGTGCCCAGAAGCGGTGAGTGTGAGGTCGGCGGCCTCAGCGCATATTCCTCAATACAAACAATCTGATGCGGTCCAATCTGTCCCGGTGCGCTAAAAGCCCCGACTTGGAAGACTGCCATCCAACAGGTTAATTCGGTTCTCCTCTGAGAACGGAGAGTCAGGCGGCATTAGCTCCTTCTTAATGTGGCCCTTATGGCACTCCCACTCAGTATGGATTCAAGCCGTTACCTTTTCCTGTTGCGCAAAATCTTGGTAATTTGTATGTGGTGGACCGGAGAGTGCGGTGGCACGCCTAGATGCGGGTTCTCACCCCGCCCCCCTTTTGCGCCTCCGGTCTTCTTGACTCTATCTTAACCTCGGGTCCATATAGAAAAGCAGGGGAGAGTGCGGAAATTGCTGCGCAAATAAACTATCCTTACAAACTAAATCCCGTGCAAGTCACTGTCCCTGCTCCCATCCTGCAATAGAGCACACAGTGGACATCGTCGGCAACGACGGTCGAACGCCATTATGCCTGTCGGAATTGCTGCTTTAACAGCGGACTCAAAATATCACGTATATTTTCCAGTCTGCCCATAAATATGTGAACGCTAATGAGCCCTAAAAGACTTTTGCAGTCGGTTAAGTCCGGGCTTAGTACGAGTTCGTGAAGTCTGCCATTTACTCATCCTACTGATATTTCTGGTTCCAGGCAATCAACCCTAACTGTCGCTACACCATATCCCTATCTCTATATCACTCACGAAAATATGAGTTTTTTCATCTTGTTAATCGATGGGCATACTCCGTGAAAGTCCCTTTTCCTTCGGCGAATTACATGGAGATCGAAATTTTAAATACTACAAATGCATCGAAATGCCCATACTGGCTCCGCTTTGCGCATACTTATCTGCTTGTTTAATTGGATATGGCTACTAGAGCCATGAGCATTTACAGGACGAAAAATGTGGGCAGAGGACTCCACACGGAGGCAGGGAATCCAAAAGTTCAGCTCTTCCCCGAGAGCTACCCTATTGCCTAAAGTCTGTATTACGAAAGCGACTATAATCTATTGCAGTTTTTTTATTATTTGCTTCTACAAGACATGCCCCACAACTCAGCAACAGAACTTAACTCAGACCGCATTCAGCTTGTCCTGCGTGTCAGAGACACCCACTGACGGCGAACTCGTCATATTTTACCGTATATTCTGTCATCGTCAGTTAAAAAAACTTAACTCAGTACGAACAGGGTCATCCTTGAGAAATTACCCCGGCTGCACTATGGCCTTGTACTGTCCAGGCAACGATGGGTTGGGTTTATGAGATTAGAAATGTTCAAGTGAGGAAGAGGAAGACGGATTGATCGCCGAATATTTTTGAAAATAGCTGCGACTCAAAAGCCTACCTTTAAATGAGACTTGCACGTTACCCTCGTGGACGGCCGCTGATATTGCAAAAAAGATTTCGAGTTATGTCTCTCATGTGGTTTTTCCAAACAATATTTTCTGAATGTGGAGGTCCTCTTCAACAGTCTTGTGGGGAAGGGCGTTGCTCCAGAAAGGTAATTCTTCACTAGTCAGCTACTGAAACAATTGTAGTAGAAATGTTCTGCTGGACAAAAATGCCTGTTGTCATCAGTAAGCATTTGCTTCTTGTAAATCGACTGTCCAAGACTAGCCACTCTTTTGGCAAACGTCAGTCTTCCGTAAGCAACCGCCGGACCATTCGTCCAAATACAGGCAGGAAATGGACGTGGCTGTGGGCTTGACACTGCATGGAGACCTAATGGGTATACCAAAACCCAGCGATGAGACCGAACCACTCCCAACTTCGCTGTTCACGGAGAATGCTGTGAATGATGCATTAGGGGCAAATTTGGACCCATATGTCTTCGAATCGACTGGAAGTTCGACATACACAAACTGAAATACTGAGGACGAAATTTTCCCCACACACCGACACTGACAACATACGTTTGAGGCCCCGAACAGTCCTGTTGGACACTTTCTCATCCACCCCGGCGGCAACGCCTTAAACCCTCCTAATCACAGCCCGGAACGCCAAAAAAGTCGGGGAAACCGTCCCGAGCTTCCCTAAACCTAACTATAATTTCCGACCAAGGTTCAGTCTTATCAACAAAGTCATCGTATTCAGCTCGGCAAGAGCACAGTCAGCTGATGGATGACGATTGCTATCTGTGTCCACACCGTATAAACTCGTCTCCACGGAGACCGTAAATTCCAGCCTTGTAGTAGCCTCATGCGGTATCTACGGATTCAGCAAGCCCCGAATGGAAGGCCTTTAACGCCCTCAAATTCAAACAACATTTCTGAGAAAAAAACGGGAGCGTTCAAGTTTCGTTGACATTAGCGTTCACTTACTCCCACCCATCCACTAATTTAGGGATATATTTTAGATATAAGTCTCCGACAATGGTTGTATGCATAATAAAGCTTGTTTCTACCATATCGGTCGTCGCCATTCAGTGAGGCCTCAAGCGCAGACCGCACGCCAGAGTCTTAAACTCAAGTAAGTTGGTCATCGATCAACACTCTCACTGCTGTACCGCCCGCCACATCTCACATCCAATGAGTTGAGGAGTATTAAGGCACACGGATTTCGCACGTATCGGTTGCAAGACGGCACTGCATGCAACGAACGACGTCCATGTGATGCTGAACCATACCTTCTTTTCTACTTTACAGAACCTCAAAGTCATTTTCGGTTCCTACGTTGCCCATAGGGATCATATTTTAAGTAAAAAAGGTTTAAATTAAGAGATACTAACCGTCTACCCGTGCCGGCCTTTATGGGATGATTGTTGAAGTCGTTCTGTGAGAGGCTAAAGTCTTCAGCACAACGGCTTAGCAGATGAGGCAACAGGGGCTCCCGTTCATTGAGCTCCTCGTCCTCATGCAGCCATTGGTTAGCGTTTAATGTGCGTGGATGTCCACAAATGAGTCCAAATGGGTTGACTGTGAGTTAGTGAAACAGGAGAGTATCAGAAGCAATCTGGTCAAAACATCAGCACCTTTAACGCCAGTAAGTGGAAACGGACCTGGGCCGCTGGAACAGAGGTCGACTTGCCAAAATTTCTAGATTAGCTTTCCAAAAGGCAAAATGATGAGAAACCCACTATTCACAAACTGAAATGTCTGCAAGAACGCGTATGGCAGGTGACGTAACTGGCGAAGCACCCGCAGGTATTGCGGCCTCTATGCGTCTCTAGAAACCCATTTCTATCTCTGATGACGAATTCCGGTCTGAATTCGAAACATCAGACAGATAAGATTTAATTTCCAACCATCGAGTCTTCTTCTTTTCGTGTGTACGGAGGCTGAACACATTCTACTGCACTATGGATTTTTCTTAGCAAAACGATTTCGGTCAGATATGGTTATGTAGCCGGACCTGAGGTAAACAAACTCCAGTCACCTGTTACCTGGGACCGGTGGTAATAGGGGGTTTTATAGGTTGAGGCTGGGGAACGCACAGGCGACGAGTTCAAGTAACTGTGTGCAAAAGAAAAGCTATTGGGAATGCGCAGTTGTAATTTGAGTGGTTGAGAAATTGTTGCTCTAACCCGAAACCCTACCCCCAACAGTATTGTGTCCATCATGTGCGACCACATAACCACATCTTACTAAAATATCACCAATTGATAGTTGTGGGCAGACCGTCGATCATATGCGTCAACATCGTTATCGTGATAACACTAGGATTTTGTATTGCTGTCACAGAAGCCAGCCCTTATCCACATATCATCGAAGTCTACCGAAAAAGACTCATGGGGTAGTAGTCTACAGGAGGGAAGGATAATAGACGAGCACTTGTTTAGTGAATCGCAGGAATTAATTTTGGGAAGGTGAGGTGGATTTGCACCACATCTTCTTCGCGTCCTCTCCTCAAACCATCTCCCCTTCTGGTGGCAAGACAATGTCAAAGGGATAGAAAGTGGACGTGAGCGAAGCGCCTGCGAAGGGTCTTTCTTAATGCGATTTTCATGGGAGAGCTCATTTCTGTGAGATAAGAGCCAGCATGCGCGCTTTGCTGTCTCTGCCTGCTCAATATCTCCGTTTCGGCGATGAGCTCGCACGAAGGCTAGCCAACCTCCGCTGCCGCCGCCGCCGCCGCCAACGACGACGACGACGACGACGACGACGACGACGACGACGACGACGAAAACGCCTCTGTGGAGAACCGATGGTGACACGGTCCAGTCAACAGCCCTGACCGTCATTGGTCGTGCAAACCGCCAACACCAGGACTGGTTCGACGACAACGACGCCGTCACCAGCAATCTGCTCGTCGAGAAGAACCGTCTGCAAAAAACCTACGTAGACCACCCCACCGACGACAACAGAGCTGCTTTATACCGCAGTCGCCGCCACTTGCATTAAGGACTCGCAAGGCTAAGGAGATCCAAGGGTACGCGGACCGCAACGAATGGATGAAATTCTTCTGCGCCATCAAAGCTGTGTACGGTCCGCGGACCAAGGGCACCGCTCCTCTCGTCAGCGCCGATGGAACTACCCTTCTCACTGAGAAGAAAAATTCTACGGCGATGGGTCGGGCACTTCCGAGGCGTCCTCAACCGTCCCTCCGCCATCTCCGACGCCGCCACCGCCCGTCTGCCTCAAGTGGAGACCAATGCCGGCTTCGACCTCGCGTCCTCTCCACACAAAACAATCAAGACCGTACAACAACTCTTCAGCGGGAAGGCATCCGGATCGGAGGCGATCCCTGCCGAGATCTACAAGCACGGTGGTTCCCAACTTATGGAACACCTGACGGCGCTCTTCCGGGAAATGTGTTGTCAAGTAGAAGTCTCGCGGGATTTCAAGGACCCCACAATCGTCTACCTCTACGAACGCAAAGGAAACCGCCAAATCTACGAAATCACCGAGGCCTCTTCCTGCTGAACATTGCCAGGAAAGTCTTCGTTCACATTCTTCTCAACCATTTGAACAGCCATCTGTAACAGGGTCTCCTGTCGAAAAGCCTGTGCGGCTTCCGATGTCATCGTGGGACCACGGACATGCTCTTCGCCACCCCCCAACCTCAGGGGAAGTGTCAGGAGATGCGGACCCACCTCTACTCTACATTCTTGGATCTGATGAAAGCCTTAGATACGATGAATCGTAAAGGATTGTGGAAATTCATGCAGAAATTCGGCTGTCCAGAACGATTCATTTTCACGGTGGTCAGTTCCACAATGGCATGGTGGCGCGCGTCACGGATAATGGAGCCGTCTCAAAGGAATTCGCAGTGACCAACGGAGTGAAGCAGGGCTGCGTCATCGCGCCTACCCTCTTCACTCTCGTGTTCTCTATCATGCTGATGGTCGCCTACCGTGACGTACGTTCCGGGATCCACATCGCCTACAGGACGGACGGCCACCTCCTCAATCAGCGACAGATGCACTTCCAGTCGCGTGTATCCACAACCACCGCCGATGACTGCGCCCTCGATGAAACTACTGGAGGGGACATGCAAAGGAGCATGGACCCCCTCTACGCCGCCTCCGACAACTTCGGTCTGGTCATCAACACGGAGAATGCGGTGGTTATGCACCAACCGCCATGCAACTCTGCCTACAAAGCACCCAAAATCAACGTGAACGGCGCTCAACTGCAAGTGGTGGACAACTTCACATATCTGGGCAGCAACCCCTCCCGCAGCACCGAGATCGACGATGAAGTGGCCCACAAAGTGGCCAGTCAAGACTTCAGTCGTCTTCAAAACACAGTTTGGAATCGTCACGGTCTTCAATTCAGTACGAAACTGAAGATGTACGAGACCGTCATCCTACCGACGTGGCTGTAGGAAACAGAGACCTGAACAGTGTATATGAAGCAGGCACGTGGACTCAACCACTTCCCCCTCAGTTATCTTCGTCGAATACTAAATCTGAGGTGTTGGGACCGGATCCCATACACGAACGTACTGGAACAGACGGAAATCCTCAACATTTACGCTATGTTGAGACAACTAGAACTACGCTGAGTGGCCACCTCCTACTGATGGGCGACGAGAGGCTACCCAAACAACTCTTCTAGGGAGATGTCGCAGGGGGCTCACGCCGACAAGGAGGTCACGTCTAGCGCTACACGGATACTCTGAAAATCTCCCTGAAGCACCTGCAGATCAACCCGGTAAACTGGGAAGACCACGCCCGGCACCGACTTGGGTCGAGGAGAACAGCAAAGACGGGCGCAGCAATAATTCAAGCCAACTACATCACCGCCGCCAAAGCCGAACACAAGACACGCAAATCTCAACTGCCACCGCCGGCCCACAGCGTCAACGCCGACAAGGAGGTCAAGTCCGGCGCTACTAGGATACTCTGAAAACCTCCCTAAAGCGCCTAAAAACCAACCCGACAAACTGGGAAGATCTAGCTCAAGACCGACCTACGTGGAGGAGAACAGTGAAGACAGGCGCAGCAGTCTTCGAAGCCAACCGCATCACCGCCTCCAAAGCCAAACGGGAGTGAGGCTAATCTCAACTACTGCTGCCGCCTCACAACGCCAACGCCCAACCACCTCCAACGTGTCCAAGATGTCAGCGGGCATTCCGGGAATCAAATGGACTTGTTGGACACCCCCAGACCAACTGCAACACCTGGACTGCACCAAACGTCGTATCTCCGTCCACCTCTCCTACGCCTCCTGCGCCGTCAACTAACGTTGACCGCTCTCCCTAACCACCAATACAATCCTCCCCCTCTACCGCCTCAACGTCTGCAGCTGTGACGTCTGGCATGCCAATCAACAATACACACAATCCTGACAAACCAACAAGCACCAAAACCACCACCATCAACACAAGTGATGAGGACCTGACCTATACCTTTCCTCATTGCAACCGCACCTCCTTCTCACACATCGGCCTAGTCAGTCAATTGCGAATCCATAGTATAGGGACTGGCGAACCGGTGCCAGGAGCACCGACCTACACCTGTCGCATCCGCATCCACTGTCCACGCTGCACTCGCACAGTCACCCCCCGTATGGGTCTTTTAGACCACATGCACACACCACATGCCACACCAAACCAGCACATCCTCCCTAACCAACATCTTACCGCACATCAACATCACACATCACAAGCACCCAACTACCACCTTTCACGCAAGTGAACAATTCGCGTCTCGGCGCCTTCTCCATGAGGCCTCCCTGTTACATGTGTATCGGAGTCTGAGGCGAAGACGGTGCGTCGAGCACCGTGATTCGAAAGGCAACTCAGACCATGCAGTCTGTCCATTTGTGTGTTGTGTGGAGAGGTGGACTGGTGGGCTGAGAGCCAGGCCGTCACGGCTCCTTCTCCAGCGATCCGTGACAATCTCATGCAAGTGAGGAGTATGCTTGTTTTTGTATGTATGCTTTATTGGTAGTGCCTCTCAGTCAATGACTGTTTAGTTACCCAATCTTGAAGGGTGACAGCCCAGGTAAAGTGCAAGGCCAGGTGTCTGCCTTCTAGATCAAAAATTCTGGAAGCGTGTGCTATGCCAGTATCAGCATACCATGGCCCTCGCAGTCTGGTATGCGCTGGCAGTTCTCTGACACCTGGTTCCCTGCCGGTAGATGTACTTGCGCTCCCGGTGGGTATGCAGGTGGTGGGCATGGCTGCCCATTCATCATCCTTGTCCTTCTGCCTCCTATTGGGGTGTTGTTGTTGTTGCTGTTGGTCAAAAACCTGCTCATTTGCCGTGTGGATCAGAGGGTGTGGAGTGAAGCACCAAGGTGCGGGCTCGGCCGTGCCATCCACCTGCACCCCTCCCCCCCCTCCAGCCTTCTTGACTCTGTCTTGACACCGGGTCTAGGTTTGGGAAGGCGAAGCGAGTGGAATAGAGGCTGTGCAGGTCCATTATCACTATAAACTAAATGTTCGCACAAGTCACCGTCCCTGCTCTCACTCTGCTGCGGAGCACACGGTGCACATCGTCGGATGCGACAGTCCGACTGTCGAGTGGCGGGCTGATGGGCTGAGAGTCAGGCTACAACAGATCCCTCT